CAACACTTGTGTACTTGAATCTGACTTGTATGACAATACAGTCGTGGACTAGTGATAGCACACTACAACAATTGATCACTGAAATTCAGGCCAATGTTGATTCATATAAACATTATGTTTGGCAGAACAATGAGCTACGAAGAAAAGGGAGGTTGGTTGTAGGGAAGGATTGCTGGATCAGAAAAGCTATATTTGATTAATTGCATGCTTCTGCTAGTGGAGGTCATTCAGGTAGAGATGCTACTTTGAGGAGAATGCAAGCTGTGGTTTATTGGAAAGGAATGACAAAAGATGTTAGGACCCTTGTAATGCAATGCAGCACTTGTCAGAAGTCTAAATATGATACAGCTGCCAGCCCGAGACTACTGCAGCCATTGCATATTCCAGGAAGAATTTGGCAGCATATCAATATAGATTTTATTGAAGGTCTCCTGGGATCATGTGGGAAGCAGGTTATATATGTGGTGGTGGATAGGTTGAGTAAAGCAACACACTTCATGGCACTTAAACATCCTTACACAGCTGATGTTGCTCAATGTTTCCTAGACAATGTGTTTAAGCTGCACGGTTTTCCTGAGTCAATAACAAGTGATAGAGACCCTGTGTTTGTGAGCCAATTCTGGAAAGATATGATGTCTTGTCAGGGTGTCCAAATAAACCTTTCTATTGCTTATCATCCTCAAACTGATGGACAAGCAAAAGTATTAAATAGGTGCTTGGAAACTTACCTTCGATGTATGTGTGCGGATGTTCCTCATGAGTGGTCAAAATGGTTGCCATTGGCTGAGTGGTGGTATAATACTACCTACCATTCTGCAATCAGAACCAACCTTTATGAAGTTGTGTATGGTCAACAGCCACCAGTGCACTTACCTTACCTTCCTGGGAAGTCTAGGGTTGATTTAGTGGATAAAAGCTTTCAGAAACGTAAAGAAATGTTGAAGGTGGTTAAATTTCATTTGAAAAGAGCTCAGGAACAAATGAAACAACTTGTTGACAAGCATAGATCTGATAGGCAATTTGAGGTTGGTGACTGGGTCTATGTGAAACTTCATGCTTATAGACAAATTTCTGTTGCATAATGGGTCAATGCTAAGTTGTCCCCAAAGTATTATGGTCCCTATACAATTCTGGATAAAATAGGTCCAATTGCTTATAGAATTCAACTACCAGCGGGATACAAGGTCCACAATGTCTTCCATGTATCCCAATTGAAGAAGCATGTTGGAGAGGTACCTATTTCCAGCAATTGTCCTGAAGTTTCTGATTCAATTGGGGGAGGATGAGAACCTTAATCCATCCTTAATAGAATGACTGTGAAGAGGGAAAATATGTCTGTCATCAAGGTTTTGGTCAAGTGGAAGCATCGGCTGCCAGAGGATGCCACATAGGAGTTTTATTATGACCTGAAGCAAAAGTTTCCTCATTTCAATCCTTGAGAACAAGGATTATTTTACAGGGGGAAATATTGATATAGGTGACTTGCGTCCAAGTCACTATATACGTGTAAAGGTAATTAGCAGGAATTCTGTTATAATTTCACGTATGAGAAGTTAGTTAGAAATTGACAAACTATAAATTGTTTTCATCCGTTGTACGAAAAAAGTTTTGTTTTTAAAAAAAGAATTTCTGTGTGAACTTCAATCTTGTTCTTCAATAAATTATTTTCATGTAATGGTAGTTAGCAGGAATTCCGTTATAATTTCACGTATGAGAAGTTAGTTAGAAATTAACAAACTATAAATTGTTTTTATATGTTGTAAGGAAAAAGTTTTATTTTAAAAAAAAAAATTGTGTACTTCAATCTTATTTTTCAATAAATTGTTTTCATGTAAGGGTAGTTAGCAGAAATTTCGTTATAATTTCACATATGAGAAGTTAGTTAAAAATTGACAAACTATAAATTGTTTTCATCTGTTGTAAGGAAAAAGTTTTGTTTTTAAAAAAGAATTTCTGTGTGAACTTCAATCTTGTTCTTCAATAAGTAATATTCGGAATTCATTCTTTCATTGAGTTTTCTATTGTCTTGTGAAATCTTCGAACACGTAGCTGTTCCTAGATTCACCTTATCATTTTCTCACCAAGGTATGTGATAATCAATCATCTTCCATAATATATGCAAAAAGCACCATCAGGTTACATTTTAAAACATCGATTTGATGAAAAATATTTCAACTTATTTCTCAGAATGTTGTGCTGCAAAACTTGAAGATCATCAATGAACGAAATTCATCAGAATTTATGATCTCTCACACACCACCCTTATGAATCACGATAACAACTTTTGAAGTGAATTATTCAAGGGGACTGAGAAGCAACTTTTGAAAATTATTATAACAAGTCATTCTTTCTTGTGTACTACACACAAAAAATCCATTTTTGTGTATCCCATCACTCACCATTAAGTAGTAGATGGATATAACCTATACATCGAAATGTTGAGAACAAGTTACTGATGATTGTTTCACAGCCCCCAATTGCTTCAACTGTAAATCTAAAAAGTGCTTTTCACACTCTGGATTCAAACAATTAAAGGAATCCTATAGGATCAAGTAAAATAATTTGTTAAAGTTTAAATTAGAATATCAGAGACTTGAACCTCAAACAAAACAGTAATAATAACTGAAAAACAATAGTCAATATACCTCAAATTTCACTAGAAACTTCAGCCAATGATGCAGAGAAACCTTGCTATTAAGCATAACTCAGAAAGCATTCTTGACAAAATACCACAGGTGATAAAGCAGTAAAGCACCAAATCCAAATATGGCAAAACATAACAGATGGCTCATGCACAAGTATCCATGATCACAACAACCCATTTGTTTCCGTTGTCAATTGCAACAATTCCTTCTAGTCTAAAAAAGTTGCAATTTTCCCTTTGAGCAATAAAGGAACCTTATATGATCAGGTGAGTAAAAAAAGAAATTGAGAAGCCTATACTATTAATCAGAAGTTAATCCGAAAAATAACACAGAAGCCACTTGCATGATTGTTATCTTGAAAGATTTTTTTTCTCTTTATACAGCTTCAACAACTGAGAAGCTTCCTCCTCAAAATAATTCACATATCTCTTCAAGAATGCCATTTCAGAAACTCTAAATGGTATGGCTGATTTAACATCCTTAATCAAACCTTTGGATTGAAGAAACTTCAAGACAAAAGCCCTAGGAATTACTCTTCTCTCCAAACTTAATGTAATTAGTAAAGGGTATTTGGCAAGCATAAGAGAGTCTCAACTCATATGGTTGACCCAAAACTCCATCATGACCTCAATTTTATCCCCAGATGCAAGCATGCACCATGGATTCATCATAAATGTTGAAAGGACAAGTTCTTCAGACCAACCCCATTTCTTATACAAACCAATCTTCTTATCCCACAAGGATTGTCTCACAAGCTTAGCACGTACTGCTAGAATAAACACTGTTTTGTAGGGTTTAATCCCCATTTCCTTTACTTCCTCCACCGCTTTCTTAAAGATTTTAGGATCTGCAATGACTGAATAAGACCAATAACGAAGCAACATTGCAACCTTCGAATGAGGGACCCCATCTTCAAGCAGCACTTCAATGTTGAGTACTAGGTTCTTGGAATGAACAATGCTAGGGCATGCTTTCACAGCGAGCATAGTGGATTGATCAGAAAGAAGGAAACTTTTGATGAAATCAAAATATGGGATTATGGATTTCTCCAAGCCAACGTACAATAAATATGAACAAGGTCTGAACTTGAAGCACCCTTTGAGATAAAGAACTCGAATTTTGGAAGAATGGTCTTATTGAGATTGTAAGTAAGCATGTTTGGGTAGGCTCGGATGATCCGAAGTAACTCGCTGTTTGAGAAGCCATGACTTCTGAACAAGGCGAGGATTGAGTCAGGGCCATCCGAGTTGACGAGGCGAAATCGGGCGGAGAGTTTGGAAGCTGTTTGTGAGGAGAAGCCACACGTATTGACGAGGTAGTTGAAGGTAAGAGAATGTTCTGTGGAAGAGGAAGTGAAAGATAGAAAAGGCTGAGGAAGAAAAGAGGACGGCGGGGAGATAGCAAAGATGGTGCTAAGGTTAGGGTTTCTGTTGAGGCAGAGCAATGCCCTGCAATAGTAACCCGACATGGGAATAGCGACTCAGGAGAGTAAAGAGTCGTTACTGTGATAAATTGCAACTGTAATAAACTTCCATAGTTTCAACTTGAGACGTGTTTATGATTCTTCTAATGTTTTTAAGAATACTGAGATTTATTGATATAAAATTAATATTAATAATTATTTTATATATAAGAGATATTAAACTCTTTTAATTATAGAGACTATAATATATTTTATCTTTATTAAATATTGTAATTTTCAATAAAAATATCTGTTAAAAATAAAACTCAAAATATTATTAATATTGGAGCAAATACTATTTAAAATAAAATATTTAAATAAATAATTTTTAAAATTAAAGATGGAAGTTAGTAAAACGAGCTATCATCTACACTTAGTATAGAGCTTTGTTGGGTTTGACAATTTTTTTTTTTTTTGGCTTTAAAATAGAAATCTAAATTTGGTCTAAATTGCATTTTAGGAGACTTAAATTGAGTGGTCCAATTTATTTTATGGACTCTAACTAAAGTAATATTTTTATAAAATAAAATATTTAACTTATAATTTAGTCTTTTTATAACTTAACAGGATAAAATGATTATTTTAGCTTATAAAAAATGAGTATTTTAAACCGTTAAGGGTCATCTGTTTAAGTTTTTTCATCAAAAAAATGTTTTTAAAATAATTACTTTTTTAGTTAAGATTAAAAAATTAAAATTTGAAAATAATTAAATTTTATCATTTAGAAACTATTTTAAATAACTTTTAAAAAACTAAAATTATAACCGTTCATTAAAATATAAAAATTTATAATTATAACTAAGAAATAACTTTTTTTTAATGAAATTTCTATTAAAAAAATCACTTTTTAAACGTTTTAAAAGCACATTGTTTTGCCCAATATTGATTGATATATTGGGTAATGAACACGTGTTGCCTTATCCCATTTTGATATTTTTTGTTGGGATATGATGTTGGGTTTCATTCTCCGCTGCGGCGAAAATGGCTTCCTCAGTGTCAGTGTGGTTCTCTCCCAACGCGCTCGCTCGCCCCAACACACGCAATCGCAATCGGAATAAAATCTCTAACCCTAAATTCAAGAACCCCGTTCTCTCCGGCGGCGAAGCCACCACCTACACTCGTCTCCCGCTCAAGCACGATTATTCATCTCCCTCTCCTCTTTCCTCTTCCGAAATCAAGCTCTCCGATTCAGCCCCACCCATTAAACACGAACAGCAGCAACAACAACTTGTTTTCGACGACAATGCGGGATCTGAAAGCGACGCCGAATACGAAACCTTTGAATCTTCGGACTTCGATGAAGAAGAAGAGTCTTTGAATTCTCCGAACACCGAGGGGGAGGTGAAGGAGAAGGGGGTGCCGGCGGTGATGCGGTGTTTCGACCGTGCGAAGATATACGTGAAGACCGGCGACGGGGGGAACGGCGTGGTGGCTTTCCGGCGGGAGAAGTACGTGCCGTTGGGGGGGCCGTCGGGGGGCGACGGAGGGAGAGGTGGTGACGTGTATGTTGAAGTTGATGGGTCAATGAACTCGCTTTTGCCGTTTCGGAATAGCGTGCATTTCCGGGCAGAGAGGGGGTCACACGGGCAGGGGAGTTTGCAGAGTGGGGCAAAGGGAGAAGATGTGGTGGTGAAGGTGCCTCCTGGAACAATCATTCGTGAGGCTTCTCAGGACAATGTGCTATTGGAGATGGTGTTTCCTGGACAGAGAGCATTGCTTTTGCCCGGTGGTCGAGGTGGCAGAGGGAATGCTTCCTTCAAGTCTGGGACTAATAAGGTTCCAAAGATTGCTGAGAATGGCGAACAGGGTCCTGAAATGTGAGTTCTTTTTTATTTTTTGAAAATATTAACAACTTGAAGTAGAAAATTTTTTCTAAGAAAGAATGCATTTATTATATCGAGAAATATCAAAATGTCATAAATGTTATATTTTCAAGAAAAGTTTGTTATTTAGATGGTTAAAATCAGCTGTAGCGGTACAGTATAACGAAACACTACTTTTTTATGCTTTTGTTGCATTCTCTTCATTGGTAGATCCTATATTGTTATCTAGCCACGTGTGAAGTGAAGGTTGCTGTTTGGTAACATAACACTTACTAGCACTTATTGTGTATTTTTGCCTTTTGAAAGAAGAAGAAAAGTTTGAGGTTGTTTGAGCATTTTGGAACTGCATGAGAATCTATAGAATGGTTGCTTTTGATCAGGTGGTTGGAGTTGGAGCTCAAGCTGGTTGCGGATGTTGGTATTGTTGGGGCTCCGAATGCGGGGAAAAGTACGCTTTTGAGTGTCGTTAGTGCTGCGAAGCCAGCGGTGGCTAATTATCCCTTTACGACACTGCTTCCCAATCTCGGTGTTGTTTCCTTTGACTATGATTCAACCATGGTGGTGGCAGACCTTCCAGGTCTACTTGAAGGGGCACACCGGGGTTTTGGTTTAGGTCATGAGTTTCTACGGCACACTGAAAGATGTTCTGCCCTGGTAGGAACTTTGATTCGAGATGATATCAATGCTTTGTTCTGCTTTATGAAGTTAGACATTCCTACCTTATATTTGTGAATCTTAACTCCGGAGGAGCTGTGTTCAATTGTTGAATTACTGCTCTGCTTTCCCCTCTTTTTCCTTTTCTAAAAAATGTATTTTAGGGCATTATTGACTATGTTTATAAAATATAATTCTTTTAGAGACACTTCAGTCATCTATATTTTGGCCATTCCAAATTTTTTACCCTACCTCTCTGCCTATGTCAGTTCTATTTAAAACAGTTTGAGTAAAATTACAACTTGTCTGCTTATTTGTGCTTCTAGAGTGTTTTATCATCTATTATCTTGCTTTGTGTTGTCTGCATGTCTATTTGGTATCTCTCTATATCAATCCATTTGTGTTCCATGAACTCAACCCATTCTGAATCTTTCCATGTATCTGAAATATCTTTATTTTGAATTCTACATTTTCAGTTGACGTAGACAATGATTGATCAATAGGTTATCCTATGATTTAAAGTTCAAAATTGTCCATCTATGTAGAATATATATTTATGATTTCTATTCTTTGTGTGAACCTTCCAATCTTGATGTATGATATTGTTAAGCATGCTATTTCAAAATATAACTAATTTGATATTTTTTATCTGCTTCTCCTTTTTTGAACCTTGAAAATTGCTGTTTAAATCAAGCCTATATATTGGGTTTTAGGTACATGTTGTTGATGGTTCATCACTACAGCCGGATCTTGAGTTTGATGCAGTTCGTCTAGAGCTCAAGCTGTTTAATCCTGAACTTTCTGAGAAGCCTTATATAGTTGCTTATAACAAAATGGATCTTCCAGAAGCATATGAAAATTGGGAATCCTTCAAAGAAAAGTTGCAATCTCGTGGGATCACACCCTTTTGTATGAGTGCTGTCAAAAAGGAAGGTACTCATGAAGTTATCTGTGCTGCTTACGAGCTGTTGCGTAAAAGTAAAGAAGACAGGGAGGAATTTGAAGGTTATAATTTGTTTTATTCTTATTCTATGTTTTATTGTTATGCAACCGGAATACTCTTTTTTCTCAAGTAAGTTTTTGCATTTGGACAAATTTGACCTGTTTCAGTTGGAAGAGATATGGTAAACTTGAACCATGTAGCTGATGCAGTACAGAAGCAACGGAATGCATCCATTAGTGATTTTGAGATTTTTCATGACAGCAATTCAAATATCTGGCATGTTGTTGGGTCTGGATTGCAACGATTTATACAGATGACAAATTGGCGGTAGGTTATATAGTAAAAATGAGATCATGAATACAATTCCTTTATGTGTGTGTGTACATAGAGAGAGAGAGAGAGACATACACACATATTATCTACAATGTGTCATTTTTCTTACATTTGAAACTTATTGAGATGTGACATAAATGTGTTGAACAAATTATACTGCATTCATGCTGTATTTGTTTACAAAACCATGTATGACCACTGATCAGGCTGGGGACATTTCTTCAGTTTCCTGAAGCTTCTTGCATAGATTTTCAAAAAAATCACTCTTAGAATCATAGAAAAGTTCATGGAAGAACCTTCTTTGTATAGTGTGAGAAAATATGAAGATTGGAAACTCCATCCTCCTTGTTATTGATACTTGACATGTGTGAAAAAAAAAAAAGCATTTTATGATATGCGTTATGCTTGAAATTGTAACACCTGTTCATGGCTAGTTTCATGGAGACTTGTGGATCTTTTAACAGGTACATTGATTCAGAGATAAGATTCCAACATGTTCTTGAAGCTTGTGGTGTGTATAAGTCTCTCATGAAACTTGGTGTAAAGGAAGGGGACACAGTAATTGTTGGAGAGGTGTGTCTTTTGTTTCTCTTCAGCATTTGTATTCATTGTAATCCATGCTAGCACAATGTATAATGATGTAAGCATATGGGTGATTTACTAAATGAAATTTAGTTGTCATTTACTGCTTCAAATTCCCTTTAAATGGTGTGTCATTAATTGTGCAACATTTTGACCCCTATTTTCTAACACCTAGAACAACCTGGAAACATCATCTGTCAGCAGGGAAATTTTTTTCCCCAATATATCCTTATGTGTTGCCTACATGAAGCTCTTCTCCAATTTTGCATACCCAATGACCATTTGTTCTGCTACTTATCAGATGAAGATGGTATGGCACGATTCCTATGACAATGCTGGTGCATCTAGGATGAAGAAAATGTCCACAGATTCAATTAAATGGCCTGAATGGAAGTAATGCCTCTCAGTTTCAGTGTCATGCATACTGCAACTGTGCATAGGTAAGGAGAACATTATTCTTACAATTGTTTTGTTCCTGCTATAATGGGTTTATTCCTGCTATCCCCGTGCAATTTGGCAACAATCTAATTGAATATAATAGTAGCTCTTGCCTTGGTTTCTCCTATTAGTGAGCGGATAATATTTTCCTTGATCATTTGTTCATATTGACACATATATCATATAAATGGAGGATTAAACTCTCTATCCTTCACTGATGAGGTTGTTGTTATGGCATTCTATTTTCATTTTGATTTATTTGTGTTTTGGATAAAATATTAAATGCCACTGCTGTAGTAGTTGACATTGACAAAATTTTCAAGCATTTACAGTTTAGCTTTTTGTGACTTCGTGAAATATCAAGATTATCAATTAGGCTGCCCAGCTTGAAATTATGTTTACTGCTCGTTGATGAACAGTGTTCATGTAGGAAGCAAATTCAATCATAATGAGGTGTTATAGAAGAGGATAGAAGTCATGAGAAGCTGCCTCAAAAAGAACAAGGTATTGCATGCGATTACATGATTGTCCTGTGATGGCATGATGCTGGGTGCATTTATAATTTCAAATTCTTCTATGTGAATAGAAGCGGTGTCTTCTTCAACAGCTCATGGCTGAGTTAGGTAAGATTCAGTCGTTGTGGTGCACATCTAACATTGTTTGTTGGCTTAAATTGGTTTTAAACAGATAACTAATTAACAGAAGAAAACGTGATTGCTTATGTAATTTTATATGATGCGTTATAAATCTTTGTGTATGATGTAAAATGTCTTCTTTTGACAGACCGCTCTCATGTGGATTGGATAATTTGATGGAATTGAAGTGAAGCTCAAATCTCAAGTTTCACGGGATGTCATCATAAAAGCGACTGGGTTGAGATTGTTATATTTTTTCTATAATGTATTTGTAGCTCGTTTTACTTGTTAATTATAACTATAATATGCTTGAGATATGATCCTTACATTATAGAGAAGAAAGATGTTAATAATTGTAGGTGAAAAATAGACCGGGATCCTCTCATGTTATTTTATGTTATTTTTCGCTTAAACGAAAATACAAAAATACGGAACATGACCCTCATACATGAGGGAATTTTTTCCGTGAAAAATCTGTGAACCACAGTAGACATCCTGTTTTTTGGGGTGTGATAGGCTCCTTTTTCTTTCTGCAATGCACAAGTGTGCTAAACAATCCCCTTTCCGACACGTAATTATCAATGTCTATAGGTCACATCATAAGCTTATAGGGCTAGCCCATCGCATGGTTCATGTTTATCATTTGTCAGAAACCTATGTGTAATGACTTTGAAGTGGTTCTATTTTTACCCCTAATCTATGTTCACTTTATAGATGCAATTACCTTAGTATCTTAACGTTCCCTGAGATAGTAGTGTTTTAATTTTTACATTTGTTGTTGATTCACAATGTTTTGACTTTCCTGACTAGTGTGGTTTGTAAATCTGAAGAGCTACTGTTGAAGCTGAACTATATTTTTGTGTTACCAGAATTTCCAAACAGGATACTTGAATCACGGTAAAATTGGTACCAAAACTAAGATGATGATCTTCCCGGGATTGAGTTTGCAATGGAATGATAGCTGAGAAGGACCAGTTTCTCAGTCCTCCCCTGTCTTCAGCATGCCCGTGCAATCTTATTCGATTTGGCAAAGTAATAATAATGGAAATGACAAGTAGACGTACAAAAAATCTTACATTCCTCATATATGTTAATTTGGAAAAGTCACCATCAAACGAGAGGTAAAATTGGACGATTTATGAAAGGTGGTAAAAAAGAGTGTCATATGTGCCTCAACTTCGTAGATTATCTAAGTTGCTTATGTGATATTGTTTTAATATCTACTTATGTGACTCATAAAAAAAGCAAGTTAAATTTTTTTTTTGTGAGAATAAGAATTTCTTTATTTTTCTACCTCTTGAAAACTTACTAGTACATGCTGTTATTTGAACAACATAACTTTTGTGGTTATGAATAGGGATGTCCAAATAGTAATTGGCTCGTTGGTAATTGCTGTGACACTAATGTATAGGAACTATTCCAATTAGAACACCTTAACAATTATCTTTGCCAATTGTCAGGGATTAATATTTGGTTCTTCCTTTAGAAGGATCGTCGGCTTTCTACCTCTGCCCTTGTTGGTTTGAACTAAACTGTGAATTTATATTCTCATCTCTCGATAAATATTTAAATTATATATTTTTTACATTACCTTAATGCATTGCTTTCCTTTTTATATAAAGCTTGTGTATAATTGTTTAATTTAAATTTTGTGTGTGTGTGTGTGTTTTAATGTGAATTAGTTTCTTCGAGATAATTTTCTGTCCTTCTAAATGTTTTTGAAAATTATTGACCACTTGTTTAAACCTCGACTATTGAGTGAAGTTTTAAAGTATATATATATATATATATATATTACTTTAAGACTTTTACTATTATTCTACTCAAAATATATAACATTTTTACTCTTAGGAATGTGGTCGGTCACATTTATTTGTAGGTCTAAGGATTAATAACATTTATATATAACTTGGTTTTGAGTATTTTGGGTTAGATTTAATCTTGAATTTAAATAAAAGGAAGTCTTGATAATATTTTCAACTTTAACCAAATTTTGATCTAATGTTGAGTCAAGTTAGATTTATTTTCAAAATATAAGTTAGCTAGTTTGAATTGGGCAAAATATATACTCTCTCAGGCTGTTTTATAAGAAACAAGTAAATAATTTATCAAGATTAATAAAAAGTAGTTATATATTATAAATTTGTAGCATATTTTAACAATTATTTTTTCTAAGAAATTATAGAGTAATTTTTTTTATTAAAAACTACAAAATTTAATGTCATTACATATATTGATAACACTAAACATTACAATTTTTAATAAAAATATTATATTTATATTCTTATGTTTTGCAATGTTGCACAAAGTAAAAAAAAAATATTTAAAAATATTCATAATAAATAATAATCAAATTAGTAACATATACATTAAATGAATGAATATACTTACTCATATAGATAATAAATGAGTGTCTTGATAATATAAATATCGTAATAAATATGAGTATAATTTTTTTTTAATAATTAATGCATATAAGTATTTTTTTTATATTTTAAGAAAAACTATTGATAATTATTTCTTATAAATAAGATCTAAGGAAAGGAAGCAATTTTTTTATATTAGTGTATGTCAATTTATAGTCTATTAACCAATTGACTAGAGCAAATTTATCGTTGATTATTTTTATCTTTCTCATTCTTTTCTTTGCCATTCACCTTCACCCTTATTCTAACAAATATAATTTGTCAGAACTTGTTCTGCGAACATCTTTATTTATAGCTTCACCAATCCTTTATTCCTCTAAAATGAAACAACTTCAATCTCATGAGATTGGGAAGAAAGGTTCATATTTCTAATAATTCATCATTCTCTTCTCTTATCCCTTTCTTCTATTTAATTTCCTTAGCACACTAAGTTAAATATATGACAGGATGTCATTCTTACGTGTTTTGTGGTGGTCACGAACGCGGTTACAACATAGCTAGGAACATTCATTAACCAAATAAAGCACAAAAAAGCATGAGTAAAAGCAAAAAGACCAGATTGTGTTGTGATGTTTGGTTGCAAAGTGGGAGGACACAAGTGTGTATATGAACAGAGAGGAGCTGAAGTTCAAGCTGCTAAAGGTAACATGGGCAAGTTTGAACCAAAAGTTGGTTACCAAAACATTTGTCACTTAAACTCCATCAGTCTATTTTTCGTCAAAAGGTCCAACTAAACATACTTATCTTTATCCCTAAATGCCGGAGGACCTCTAACAATTATAAAAAAAGTGTGAGCCAGTTTTGGAGTATGTGCAAAATTCTCCTCTAACCATAAAAGTTGCATGAGAAAGAGATATTCTAAATGTTTTCATATTTATATAAAAAAACATTATGCTTCATTTTAATTAAAATATTATTCAATCAAGAATCAATAATTACTTAAGTAAATGAAGTAACAAGTTAAATTGTATAAAACATGAAAAAGATTTCCAATTCCCAAAACACTTAAATTAAAAATACAATACAATGAACTAAAAAAGTATTCAGAAGTATAGAGAGAGGGAGAAAACTATTTCCTGTGCTTTCTTTGGCTATTTCGAAACAAACACATATATTTAGGGATATGTAAAGTACCTTATCAAAATGTACTCCTCTGCCAACCCAACTAAATTCACATCTTTTGAGATGTGCCCTGAATAACCTTTCTTCTTACTAAATGGTAAGTTCCAAAACTTTACATAAGAATCCAATCATATCAAATATATTGAGAAAAGAATGGAGCTCATCTTGACTATTAATTTACACTTGTATGCTTAAAATTAGCTCCTCTCAAAAAAAAAATCCTTGTAAACTCCTTGTTTGTGTGTTTAATTAAACTGTTTTTTCCCTGTGCGTTGAGTTAGCAAACAGCTAAAGCTCTTAAGGCCAGAAGAAAACTCCATGCAAGAATCCTTAATTTTCAATTTAAATGGTGAAAAATGTTAACCTCAATAAAAACTTTTACAACCTCAACTTAATAACAATAAGATTTTATTAGAATAAAATGCATTCATCACACTTTTTGTAACTTTAATATAAAAATTACATTTTTAATTAAAAAAATATTACTTTTAAACACTTAAACTGAATTTTAAAAACTGAATATTTTGAAAATTTTCTTGTCTTGGCACAGGAGCAGCATTAATACTAATAATCTTACCCTTCAACATGGGGGCCCAATTGGAGCTAACATATCTGTATCTTTCGGCTGTTTGAAACCTTTAGTGGAAGGGTCAAGGGTCTTAGAGTCAAAACCCAAATGATTTCTTAATCAAACAACTGTTATTGAGCCTCTTCTGATCTCTCTCATTTTGGTCTACTGTTTGAATACTTTTTTAATTCCACTGTCTACAAAATTCAGTGGGTTCACTGCAAGTTTACTTGAGCCAACATGCTATTACTAATGACACAGCATTGCGTGGCATTGGGGAAAATGCTGAAAACAACAAAACGGCTTGACCCTTTTGATATGATTAGTGGCATGCTATTTCCAATGCTATATAGAATGATTTTGCAGGCTAATTAAAGAGAGTAAAATTATACTATATGAGCCGTGAATCAATAAAATCATGGCCCACTAAAGCTTTTGTTTTGTGGGGCGGTTTAGTCCACTTCAATTCGCATGCTTCGGTTTAAGCTTTTTGGTGTCCTTTTTGACTACCCTTTTTTCCTATTGGCTTTTGGAGATCAGTACTCATGTAGTACCACACTTTGTTGAAAATTGCTCAAATGAAATATACCTTGAAGGCAATTTGCAGGGAACATGTATGCAAGCATGTTATGTTATCTATTTTGTGCCGAGAGCCATTTTCTCACATTTACATGCCAGCCCTTAAATGCTCTCTACATGGTATGGTTACAATGTTGTCTACCTGTCCTAGTCCAAAGTTCAGAGATAAGTGCCACTAAAATTTGATTAAAATCTTTATGATTATAAAAAAAAAGTGTTAATGAACATTCTAGAATGCAAAATTGGATTTGTGCTTGTAAGATCCAAAACACGACCATAATAATAAAGTTGTAAACGAAACTGAAAACTACACATTGTTTTTCCCATGAAGGAGATAATTACAGAAAATTTTGATCTTTTATGATTGAGTTGCTTCACTTGTTTCACCCTCTTTCCTGAACTAACTTCACTGCTGAACAAGACATGAATCGAAAATTCTGCCCAAGATATACAACACACTAGAATTGAAAATTTTACCATTGGATTGGGAAGTAGCAAACAAAACTAAGAATTTAACAAGTGGGCCTACCAAAAGATAACCTTTTCTATGTTTGTATTCTAGAGTGGGTTGTTTCCATGACTCAAGACAGGGAAGACTCATACAGTATCTAATTCTTGAATAATTTTCATTCTGGTCAGAGATAATTTTAACTGCTACCTTTGAAAATTATGAAGCAAACAAGAGCTTTAGATGTAATCGGTTGATTATTTTGCATAAAAGGTCTCACATGTGCCTATTACATGCAACTTGTGAGCAACATGCTAATATAATGTACCTCCAAATTCAAAGGTTAGAGACTCTCTAGTAATATACAGACAAATAATGTATTCGTTTTCCTTTTCTGGTCTTCCCCGGGATACATCAGTCCTGGCACTAGCAGAAAATTATAGGTGAAGATTTTATGCTATATTTATTTATACATTTATAACAAATAGCAATGATAGTTTATAGGGTCAAGCCTTTTTCTTTTGATGTGTACAAGTATATGTCTTTTTCACTATTGTCTCCTGTATTGAAAACAACAAAATAGAGTTGAACAGGAAAAGTTCGATGTAGTTTGTTGATTAACTTGGCCTTTACACATGAACTGATACACGTAAAGATTCAATTTTGACAATCCTAATCAAATCTCAATACCTTGCATGGACCAGATGCAATAATTGGCTCACTAAGCTTTACATTATTCACTGAGTTCCAAGACTGAGGTAATAGATCTATCTATAGGTTAATGCGGTAAACCAATTATTATGTTTATTACTAAGACACAGAAAACACATTTTAAATGTCATTTGAACTATGAAAAAAGTCACTGTTGCAAAGGGGGGAAAAAACTCAAATGCAATTTATGGAGCTCCATTTAAAATTTTTTGACAAGTGAAGGGAATCTTTATTTTCACTATTCAGTTTAACTATGAAGTGAATCGGATGGAGGGCTAAAGATCTAAAAGAAACTAGCATCAGTCCCGTGCAAAAACACAGGAAAAGAGAAAAAAAAAATCTCTATTTAAAACCGTCCAGCATTTGCATAATAGTAATAACCAAAATCTTATTGGTTGAGAGGGTAAAAAAGTTAATAAAAAAATTGACATGTGACAGAAATTTGGACAGGTTTACTATTTATTGAGACAATAAAAAGATTTAATTAAAGGTAGGTGAAAAGGGGAAAACGGTTTTCATAAAAATGACATATGCAAAATCTCCTTTTGCTTCTCTCATGATCAAGTCACTGTCTTTAAATGACTTCACAGAACTCCACCCGTTTCATATTCTCTTCTATGCTCTCACCTCATCAAACACATTTTCTTTCCATATTCCAAGCCATGTCCACCTCTAGAACCTCAAATGCTTCCCTCAAAGGATATGAGTCCAACCAAAACCAAATGAACCAATCACTTCTTCAACGCAATATATCTCCTTCTAGTGATAGAAGAAGCCGTGGAAAGCAATCAGAACCTGGAAGGTTTCTTGGAGTTAGAAGACGCCCTTGGGGTAGATATGCTGCTGAAATCAGAAACCCCACAACCAAAGAAAGACATTGGCTTGGAACATTTGACACTGCTCATGAAGCAGCTCTTGCTTATGACAGAGCTGCTCTGTCCATGAAAGGATCACAAGCAAAAACCAACTTCATATATTCTCAAGACATCAATTTTCACAATGTTCTCTCACCCATGCATGCTCAACCTCTCTTACCATCTTCACACTTTTTCACTAACACACACACCACACAACCAACCCATCAAAATAGCTTGTCTCAACTGGATACTATTACTTCCCACGTTGAAAATAACATGGGTAGTGAAACTAGTGCATATGGATCACCTCAAGATGATAATTTTTTCTTCTCTAGTGACTCTAACTCAGGCTATTTGGAATGCATTGTTCCTGGTAATTGTTTCAGGAAGAAGGGCAATGCTAGTGCTTCAAGTGACCAAAAGGGTAGCCACGTTAACACAAACTCCATGCAAGTTCAGTCACATTTTGACAACACTGCATTCACTCAAGAAGGCTTGAACATGCAAACAACAGTGGCATCTAACTTTGCAGATTTTTCTTACTCAGGATTGTGTGATAATCAGCAATCATGGGATTACAATTCCAATGAACTTGCAGCTATGTTTAACATTCCATCATCAAGGGTTGATGATGGGTGCATGGATACATTGTGTTCCATCACAGATAGTCCAAGCTATGGACTAATGACTCAGGTTGTTTCTTCAACAACCTGTTCTCCATCACTTCCTCCTTCTGGGGATGTTGACTTGGGATACTCATTCTTCTGAGCTATATATTGTTGAGGTCAGATAAAATTTGTTAAGGGGTGCCTTACACTTAGTGCACTTGCATGCACTCAGCATGTCTGTGTCTGCCTGCAACTTTGGTCTTGGAAGTAGAAGCTCTTTCTTTTAGTAATGTAATTACCATATTACACACATGAGGTGAGCTCTTTTTGGTTCTAAGATGTAGAAAAATGCTTCAATGTCACTGTCAGTTCTCTCTTTCTTCATATCAAGGGAAGTGATTTTTGTAATATTCTTGCCCTTGTTATTACGATGAAAAATGTTAAGGTGGATGGTTTTAAGCTTTCAAAAGTGGTAGAATTTTGTTCAAAATGTAAATATTTATTATATATAAAAGTATAATAAATATATTTTTTAATAAAATATATTATTTTTGTATGCTAAAAGTTAGTTCTAAAAACTAATATAACAAGTCTGTGTTATTATTATTGCCATAAGATATATTTCATTCAAACTATATAATTCCAGTAAAGAAAGATCTATTAAGAAAAAAAAATATTTAAGGGCAAATGTTTATTGTGTAAAAAATAACCTTATTAATTTATAAATACCTTATGTTTCTTCATAAAGATTCATTTTGTTTCAAATAATGTACTCTATTAAAGTGACATATTTCAATGGATACTATTTCATAAATAGTTTTGTCATTTCAATTTATAATTTCTACGAAGAATCATTTTATTCTTATTTGTGTCTTATGTGAATTGTCATGTCATTTCATTAACGTCTATTCATATTCATTCTTATGTTTTAAAAATTTGTCTTACCATATATTTAACGTCTATTAATATAAAAAAAATATAACTAATTTATATGAAATATTAATTTATTGGATTAAGTTAAAACAACTCTTCAATTAAAATGATGCAAAACAACTTTTCAAATAAAATAAAATATAAATCTTCATTTTAAATAAAATAAGATAAGTTTTTTAATTTAATTGAAGCGAAACAACTCTTCAACTTAAATTGAATAAAAAACTCTCTATGTTTTAAAAATATCTTACATCTAATTTATAGAGAAGATTCATAATCATACGTTTATCAGGTAGTGTAAAATTTTCAAGGCTTTCTCAATCGAAAGCACGCAAGCCAGAGAATCTTGTGCCTCCGTTGACTAAACAAGTGGCTAGAAGTAAATTTTACTTGCCATACTGGACTTTCTCTCTATCTTTCATTTAATGTTTTGCTATTTTTATCAACTCTATCATGTGAAGCCAAATTTGACATCACATAACTATGTCAAGATTTGTTAGCAACTAAATCTCTTTGTCTGCTAACCATTAGCTTTAATCATATATAAATTCAACTAATTTACCCGATTACAAAAATAGGTTATGCTCATTAGTTCTTTTTAGGATCCGTTAATCAGTATTTTATACTCAATAAAGAAAATTAATATTCCTATTAATGCAAAAGCCAACGATCTAATTATAACTGTGCAAAACCTCCTTCGTTAATTAAAGATTTGCCACAACTTTCATTATTATGAATCTAGGAAGATATTTTGACATGGACTCCGACTTAGCTTAGAAAAGTTTGAAAAATGAAATTTTTTGAGAAAAAGACAAATCAAGGCCTTCCCCATGCTTTCATCAGTATCTTTATGGAGAGAAAAGTGAAAGAAAAAAAAACTCTGTTAAAAAAATAATTGATAAACGTGTTCAAGATAGTTGTTGTCCGATTAAGATCAAATTAAGCGAGACACGTAGATAAATTAAGCATGAAGCGCTGAAAGATCACAAAATATCCGTCTGTTGAGTATTTCTTTGGGAATAAGTATTTTTAGGAAACAATCTTTATATATTTTAAAATTTCTTTCAGCTGGTTGATAAAAATAAATATTATGTCTTTAAAATAAGTTGAATGACTCTAAAACCTACTTTGACCATGATGAAATTTGAGTTGACTGAAAGTGTGTTGCATAAGGATTTTACTCAGAATTACAAGTATAGCTAAGACTTAAAATACAGTTCCTCGTGAGGTACCCACTCCTATTATTTAACGAGGAATATATTTTCCTTTTTTCTTTAATCATATTTTATTTTTCTTTACTGTGTTTCTTTTCTCTTTCCCAACGTTCTGAGCTACGACGGTGTGGGCGATTTTTTAAAACAGCACTGTCTTTTAATTTAGGCACGTTTTTTAACTTCAAAATTTAGAGACAGCCATTCGTAAACTTAATAACGGCTGTGTGTTATAATGTTGTCGTTTCTTAACTTTGAAAACTTTGACAACGGCAGGTCCTTAACTTAGACATAGACGTGTAGTTATACATATACTCGTGTTCCTGAGTAATTTTTATTAAATTTAATTAATAAGTTTTACAACTATCATAAAGAATTCTTATATAATTAAAATATGACTTCTTTTACTATGATTATATTATGTTATTTATAACTTTCATAATTTTTTTAACTTATATTAATAAATTTCGTAATCAAATATATGATATAAACTCTTATGCAATATAAATGTGTTAAATAAATATTTAATTAAGTTGTTATTCAAACATATCTTTAGTACAAAGAACTTCTCGAACACACAGCAGTTTGAAGGATTAGTCTTCCTTATCTAACCTTCAATGTATCCCAGGAAAAAGTAAAAACAACGGCAACTCAATAACACTAACGACGATGACACTCCGAACACCAACTTCAGGCAAAGCAACAGTTTTGTAGTAAAAGACACTAGGTTCTGAAAGTGGGGAGATTCTTACATTCACTATCATCTGGTTGAAAACTTGGGATTTCGCTGCAGAAATTTGATGTGCAATTTTATTTTATTGTGTCACATGCTAATTGTATGTTGGTCCCAATGGCAGATCTTTTCAAGTGACAGGGGAGTCATGTTGCATATTATATATATATTTGTAAGTCTACATAACGATAAAGAAAAGGAACTAAGCATGCTCAAAAGCAGTCCACAACGCACAACAATTAATAAACAGGCCACCAACTTACACAACAAAATAAATCTTATCCTGCTACACGTGATTAACTACATGGATCACACGAGTACAGTCGTTAAACTCGATCAATAAATAAACAGGCCAACATAAAAACGTAAGACACAAAGATTAGCATGCACAAGTTGGCACTTATCAAGCTCTTTATAACCTTACCTAAATATTTAGAACAGTCAGACCCTTAGGCAAAAAACGATCATTACGCGCTTCTCCATCTGAGTAGTAAATACAGACAAACTTAGCAGTAATGTAAAGCGCACAATGCCATGGACAGCAAGTATGGTGGATGCTGAAATCTGTATTGCACTAATGTCATTGTTCTCTACCATTTTGGGTAAAATTTAAGGTTTTTGGTATCTTGTAAATTTGTCAATTCCCTATGTGCACCAATCTGTTTTGAAACAACACCAATCTGATCTAACTTTGCTACTTTGAACTTATAAAATCATAAGCCTTTCATTGCAGGGTCATTTTTTTTGTGGTCGGGTATGTTTAGGTGTTAGTATCCGAGGTTGAAACTAGCATGCACCTTTCTTCTAGAATAATGCTAATGTGAAGGATGGATGCATCATTTTGGAGTATAGTCTCACTCATTATTTTTATTTTTATCTTTTTGCCAATAAAATAATGTCGACTCCTCTAAACTATTTGTTTGAGCTCCGCCATTGGTTGGTCCAGTGCAATATACACAAGGACTTGACGTGAAAGTGGCTATTCCAATGGAAGCCGCAAGGCATGCTAACCCCTTTTCACTTGAGCAAAGTGATACTCTATATATAATACAAGCATCTTACAACAAAATATCAAATTCGGTCAAGGGGGGATGGGGTGATAAAAAAACAAAAAATCCCCTCAAAAAATTACCAGATCTCACATCAAAGCTTGATCAGGTAAACTGAGAAAAGGAGAAAAAAGGTTATTAGACATTCAGATGTGTTAATTTAAATCTGTTAACTTCATATATGTATTTTGCAATAAATTTAAGTTCCAAGTCAAGCTTTTCATTGCCACAAAATCACTGCGTATCTAAATCCATACAAGATAGCAATGTGAAGCCTCATTGTAGTCTCCTGATTACTTCTCTTCACAGTAAACCCTTACCAGCAGGGGAAACTATTGAATAGGACTTTCAAAGCAGAAATGGAAATTTTTTCCCAAATCAAAAAAGGGTTCAGGTGAAGAGACATAAAACAAGGTCAAAGAAAGTTTGGACAGAACGCTCTCATATCAAAAAAGATTGAAGCATAAATAAGCACAACAAACTCCAAAATTTGGAGATGTGGAAGTGCACATGCACAATGGGCTTGCCGACTCTTTAGGAGTTATTGAAAAGCAAGGTGGTCGTATGGGTTGCTAAAATTCTCAAGGTTGGCCATGGTTTATTCAAGATCAAAGCGATGGCCACAAAAAGATTATATGAACACAAAGATAATCGGTGTGATGTGTGCTAGATCTGAATGTGGATCTGGGATAACTGAAAAACAAAACCTATTGGAGGACCTCCTTGAATAATGATGTCCAGTGGAAGAATTGAGATAAAAAAAAGGAGTAATGATGAGGTATGCATTCACATTGCTTAGCTTGAGGTGTGAGAGATAATGCTACTTGTGGTGGTAGTAGCAGCTGCCGAAGGACTGGAACTCTGAGCAGATTGATAATCGGTTGATTGAGAAACAGGTCCACCAGTTGATAAGGTCAAGCCAATTGATTCAGTTAACATGCTCCTTGATGAAGACATTCTGGATGGTGTAGACTCCTTGCTGGATCCAGGGGTAGGTTGAGGCCGCAACTCGGATGATGAAGATGATTGAGCAAGAGTACCAGTTGATGAACCCACAGGATAGGGTACAACCGGCATTTCAGCCAGGGAAGAAGCAGATGGACTATAACCCTGTGATCCCACAGGATGATCAAATTTGCATGCAGAACCAAACTTACATACTCCATGCTGTGCATAATGAGTACAAGGTAATGCCCCCTGATTATCATCACACACAAACATTAAATGCTTGGCGATTAAGAAGACAGTCAAAGAAGGAAGTCAAAATATTTTTGAAAAACAATTCAACTGAACAGATAAACTTATGATTATCAAGTGATAGTTCTTTAAACATGTGAAGAGACAAACGACATGTAAATAAATTAAAATATACTTTGATACTTTCCTTGAACTGAAGTCTAAAGAAAAACATTAATGCAGGACAAGGAGAGACAGCAATAACATCTGAGAGGAACATGATAGACTAGTTTATCATATGTCAAAATAGCCACATGCAAGAAAACTAGGAAGCATTTCTAATCTGTCTATAACATGGAAACTAGAAGCAGTTCTAATTAAAAGCACAGGAAAGAAATAAAAAAAAAAAGGGCCATGAAAACAAATGTTGAACAACTCAAGCTAGTGTGGGAACACATTGAGAGACAACAAATGGCAGAGCACAAAAGCACCTATGATCTAAACAAAGAAACATGCAGCATAAGGTGTTCAGGTTTCGAGCAAATGCAATTGATGCGGCAAGTAACTCTGCACAAACCCAAATAACATGTACAATTCTTGCATTAAAACTCAATATTAGATCTAAAAGGGATCTAAAAGGCATCCCATCCTAGAATTAAAATCCAGGTATTTGAACAAGGTAAAGAATATGCAATGCTCAAACAGCCAAATGTTAAGTTTAACAGATAATAAACCAAAAGGAATTAATGGAAATTAAGTTATCACACAAGGGAATCTAGATCAAATAAGGAAAACAATGATGCTAGGGGAGATCCATAAGATGAAATAAATTACAGTACAATTAATAGCACAAAGGAAAAAGGACCTAAAAAGAACCCAAACACAATGACCATTCAAAATTAGATAATAAAGAAAAGAGTATGAAATAAAGTTCATTGAAAAATGAATACCTAAACATGATGAAAAAGATCCCATTGTTGTTAAAACACTTCCTTCATGGAAATCGGGTAACAAATTGTCAGAAAACCATCAGGAGAACCGTTATAAAAGAAATTTCAAAATGGTTTTCTTGAAAATTTAGTTTGTGACATAGTCCAATAGTATTCATTGATCTACATAACAAACTTCACTTAGGGAGATAAGACTTTGGGTAAATAATTTTCTGAAAATATTAAAAAAATTCTGAGACCTAGATTGGCTGATATGGATGGTTATTGACATTCTTGCCAATGACACTTCAACCAAGTTCTAAAGAGATGGATCTTTGCTGCCAACTCTTCTCATCAAACTAACAATCTACCGCAAAATTTCAGTGGGCACAAGCTTTTCTATTCTCAAGACCGTAGGGCTTTTGCCTAAAAAGTAAAGAGATGTGTTCAATATTAATTAAAATCATTCACAATGTCTCCTCAGCTTAAGTTTTGTGATACTAAATTGTTGTTGAAATTATAGAGATTTAGGTAAAGGAAAAGAGAAACAAAATATACTATAAAAAATATTCCCTAACGTATAGTGGTGCTATATGAAAGACAAAAACACTAAACTCTATTTCTACTAATACTAGACTGAGTGGACTCCTAATCCTAATAAAAAAAATGAAACAAATCATGAAGTATAATGAAATATGAAAAACATTTCAGAGAGATCAACTAAGATACTCAAAATATTATGACATAATAATGATATTAAGAGATACTTTCTAGATATTCTAACAATTCTTAACATTGATTATTGCAATTGCTGTCAGTTGCATCAAAATGACAGAAAATGCAGAAGTAAACACTGGTCTTTAGGGCTAACTCTAAAAGACAGCAATAAACAAAAAGAAAAGACCTGCGCAAACTAACACCAGATCAGCTTAGACTCTACCAATCTGCAAAGGAAATTGGAGCAAGCCAAATCCAGAGTTTTTAGCAGATCTAGTCCATAATGCTTGAACGACTTCTTCCACAACATAATGTATGCTATCAATCAATAAATTTGTTGTCATATCATCAATCTCAAATGTTTTATGACAGATAAGCATTTACCAGGATCCATGTAGATCAAAACAAACACATCCAAATCACTGATTTTTCAAATTATTACAGATATATTTAGCTTCATTTGATTCACACACTTGAATGAACCTTAATAAGCAACTCCTAGATTTTCCTCATGTATGTCTGTGTAATTAGTTATTATAATTTGTTGGAGATCAGCGCATATCAATCAGAATCTGCTGGAGATCAGCACATATCAATTAGAATCATCCAATTCTAATTGTACAACCCATAATAGGATTTAATATTAATAAGATTAGTTTATTTCCTTATTTAGGTACAGCATTTATAGGGAGAATTATTTTCTTGATTTTCAGGGATAGATTAAATGTACAGTTTTATTCCCTTGTATTCTATTTATACCTCTTTTGTATTTTTTCCAAATAAGAAAAATATACTTCATATTTTTCCACATGGTATCAGAGCACGATCTAAACCATCCCTAACCTAGCGCAACCAACCATGGGAGAGAACAAGGCAGAAGGTTCGGCCATTAATTTGGTCGACAGACCTGCTCTTCCTATCACTGGTCACAAGTTGAATAGCCAGAACTACCCTCAATGGGTGCGATCTGTTAAGATCTTTCTTCAGGGAAAGGGGAAGGAAGGTTACATCACAAGAGACTCTGAGGATCCAAAAAAGGATGACCCCAATCACAATAAATGGCAAATGAAAAACAGTTTAGTCATGTCATGATTGCTCAACACCATGATTAATGAAATTGGGGAAAATTTCATGTACTATGACACTGCCAAGAAGATGTGGGATGCAGTGAAGAAAACCGACTCAAATGTGGACAATACGTCTGCAGTATTTGAGATCAAGAGCTTACTCAATGACCTGCAAGGTGATTTCTCAGTTACCGAGTATTTTAATACACTCAGTCGACATTGGCAGCATCTGGACATATATGAAGACGTTCAATGGAGTTGTAACGAGGATCAGAAGTATAAAGAATTGGTGAAGAAAGATAGGATCTACAAGTTTCTATTGGGGCTGAATACAGAACTTGATGAAGTCCAGAGAAGAATCCTTGGAACCAATCTTAAAACAATTCAAAAAGTATTTTCGGAAGTGAGAAGGGAGGAGAACAGGAGGAAAGTGATGCTTGGAAAGTCAACTGTAGCCCCACCCATTGAAGGCTTAGCAATGGCAGCAAAGGGGAACCAGCCTCATCCATTTCAAGAGAAAAATCGGCCCTGGTGCGATCACTGTAGAAAACTGGGTCACACGAAGGACACCTGCTAGATCATTCATGGCAGGCCTTCAGAGGCAAAACAAACCAAAAACCTGGACAGCAAAGGTAACACAGCTGAAGTAAATTCTAACTCATCTCCATTCAGCAAGGAGTAAATGGAAGCACTACAGAAAATTCTCCAACAAACAATCAGTACAGCTGCAGTAACACAAAAATGTAATTTCTTGCATGCTCTAAATACTAGCAAAGGAAAACCAAAATCATGGATCATTGATTTAGGAGCCTCAGATCACGACTGGAAACTTAATTGTGTTTAAAAGTTATTCTCCATGCCTCAATAATTACACTATTCGAATTGCTGATGGGACTCTTTCTAAGGTCATGGGTAAAGGTTCAGTTATTATTTCACAAAATATTACCCTGAATTTAGTCCTTTATGGGCCTAAACTTGACTGTAATTTGCTGTCCATTAGTAAACTGACAAGAGACTTGAAATGTGTGCCTAAATTCTTCCCTAACCTATGTGAATTTCAGATTTTGGAGTCAGGAAAGATGATTGGCAATGCTGAAGAATGTGCTAGACTCTACCTCCTCCAAGCTGAAGCATCAAAAGCGAAACCCAAGGTCAACTCTTGTGCAACGGTACTTCCAAATAGTAAAAATTCTGTAATGTTGTGGCACTATAAGCTAGGCTACCCAAATTTTATGTATTTAAAAATAATGTTTCTCACATTATTTAATAAAAATCAGGAGTTGTTTCAATATGAAATATGCCAATTGTCCAAAATACCTGCAGCTCCTACCCGCCTCAACTCTATAAATCCTCTCAACCTTTCTCCCTAATTCATAGCGATATATAGAGACCATCACGGATAAAAAATGTCACTGGATCAAGATGGTTTGTCACCTTAATTGACAATCACACACAGGTCACTTGGGTTTTCCTAATGAAGGAAAAATCAGAAGTTGGCAGAATATTTGAACTGTTTCATACTATGGTGAAAACACAATTTCAAAGCAAAATTAAGGTGCTTAGGAATGACAATGGCCGAGAGTACTATCACTCTACACTAAATTCCTACCTTCAGAAACATGGAATCGTACATCAGAGTTCATGTGTTGATACCCCTTAGCAGAATGGGGTCGTTGAGAGAAATAATAGACACTTCCTAGAAGTGACCAGATCTCTCATGTTAGCTACAAATGTACCGAACTAATTTTGGAGAGAAGCTATCCTCTCTACCTCATCAACAAAATGCCCTCCCGAATTCTCAACTTTAACCACCCTTATTCTACTCTCCAAACGTCATACTCTACTAGGCGTATCCTTACATTCATTCCCTTAAAAATATTCGGATGCTCAGCCTTTATCCACAACCTCAATCTTCGTCGCAACAAACTTAACCCAAAATCTATCAAATGCATTTTCCTTGGCTACTCCCCCCACTAAAAGGGGTACAAATGCTATTCCCCTCAAACTAGGAAATTTTACCACACCATGGATGTCACCTTTTTTGAGAATCAGCCTTATTATCCTAAAGTTGGCATTCAAGGGGAGCAGACTTATCCAATTGAAGTGATAGAATTCCTATTTTTGGGATTTGAGCTAACCAAGCCAACTGAGACTGCACTTGCAGCAGAGGAAACTGCAGTAGATGCAATAGAAACTGCATCAACTGAATCTGCCCCAAATGCAGAGCCAGCCGAGAATGCACCTACAGAAGAGGAAACTGCACTAGAAAATGCAGAGCTAGTTGAGAATGCACCTGTAGCAGAGGAAATTGCAATAGATGCAGTAGAAATTGCACCAACTAAAGCTAGAGAAAGGACTGTACCTCAGCAGAATCAAAGTCTTGCTACACAAGGAGACAACTGGATGACGTACTTCAGGAAGAGAAGGAAGAGAGTAGAGTCCAATACAGCACTAAGGCAAAGCCATGAATCCAACCAAGCTCCAGAAAATGAGTTTTCCTTAGGTAATATTGTCTCTCATCCTGAACCTATTGATGACATTGACATTCCTATTGCCTTAAGAAAAGGGGTGAGATCTTGCACTCAACACCCCATTGAAAAATATATGTCCTATGGAAAATTGTCACAAGGGTATAGGTCTTTTGTGGCAGTTCTTGACAGCACACATATCCCAAGGAATGTTCAAGCAGCACTCCAACAACTTAAATGGACAGCAGCTGTAATAGAAGAAGTCTAGGCCTTGGTTAAAAATGGCACATGGTAAATCATCACTCTACTGAAAGGGAAGAAATCAATTGGATGCAAGTGGATATTCTCCATCAAATACAATGCCAATGGTAGTATAAACTGGTACGAAGCCCAACTGGTGGCAAAAGGTTTTACCCAATTGTATGGAGTGGACTACGAGAGACTTTTGCACCGGTGGTCAAACTCAATTCAATCTGAGTCATACTCTCTTTAGCTGCAAATTTAGATTGGCCACTCTATCAACTAGACATCAAGAATGTCTTCCTAAACGGTGAACTAGAAAAAGAAGTCTATATGCAAATTCTCCCGGGACTTGAATCATCCAGAACCTTAAGCATAGTGTGCAGGCTCTGAAAATCTCTATATTGCCTTAAACAATCTCCGAGAGCGTGGTTTGATAGATTGACTCGTGTTGTCAAGGAAGATAGGTTCAACCAATGTCAAACAGATCACACTATGTTTGTCAAAAACTCAATGGAAGGGAAGGTAGCCTTGTTCATTGTTTATGTTGATGATATTGTTATCACACTAAACGATTATGATCAAATCCAGCATCTAAAAGGACTTTTGGCCAAAGAATTTGAAGTCAAGGACTTTGGACAGCTCAAATATTTTCTAGGGATCGAAGTTGCTTGGACACAGAATGGTATTTATGTGTCACAAAGGAAATACACACTGAACTTACTTCAAGAAACCGGCATGCTTGGATGCAAGGCAGCCAAAGCCAATACTCCCATAGAATTGGAAAAGAGAGGTGAAGAAGCAAGTCCACCAGCTGATAAAGATAGATATCAAAGCCTAGTTGGGAAGCTAATCTACCTAACTCACACTAGGCCCGACATTGGGTTTGTTGTGAGCTTGACTAGTCGCTATACATCTAATCCAACTGAGACCCACATGAAAGCGGCGAACAGAATACTCCAATACCTTAAAGGTACATCAGGTCGAGGGCTCTACTTCAAGAAGAACTCAGACTAAGGCATTGAAGTCTATACTGACTCGGATTAGGCAGGATGCTCCTCTTACAATGCTCCTCTTACAGGAAATCAACTACAGGCTACTGCTCCTTTGTGTGGATAAACTTGGTGACTTGAAGAAGCAAGAAGCAGTCTGTGGTGGCAAGGAGTGTTGCAGAAGCTGAATTCAGAGCTATGGCTCAAATGTATATTTGAAGGAATCTGGCTTAAGAGGTTGCTGGATAAAATCAAAATTCCTATTAATTACACTATGAGGATATTATGTGACAACAAAGCTGCTATAAGCATTGCAAAGAACTCAATCCACCATGATAGAACAAAGCATGTGGAGATTGACCGACACTTCATTAAAGAAAAAATTGACCATGACATTATAAGAGTTGACCATGTTCCATCATACAAACAAACAGTAGACAGCCTAACAAAAGCTCTCCCAAGGAACACATACGAAAACATTAGATCCAATCTGAGTATGATAGACATCTACCACCCAAATTGAGGGGGAGTGTTGGAGATAAGCACATATCAATCAAAATCATCTAATTCTAATTTGTACAGCCCATAATAGGATTTAATGTTAATAAGATTAGTTTATTTCCTTATTTAGGTACAACATTTATAAGGAGAATTATTTCCTTGATTTTCAGGGATAGATTAAATGTACAGTTTTATTCCCTTGTATTCTATTTATACCTCTTTTGTATTTTTCCCAAATAAGAAAAATATACTTCATATTTTTTCGCATAATTCTGTTTATTTAGCTAGAAAACTATATGCCAAGATCCATGTCTTAAATCCCATAAACTTAAGACAGCTATTGAGTATTGACAATTGACACTCCACAACTTACTGAGGAAACATAATGTTTTAATTATATTAACAGAATCAGAATATTGATCTCCCTTAGAAACCTAAAAAATCATGTTAGTCTGACTCCCAACCATAAGCCATGACAGGAGCAGCAGGTCATAACAAAGACTAAAAAGAATCCTGGACAAAAATGACCATCAAAATCAAAACAATCTAAGAGACGTTTCCTAAAGCCAAAAGAAGTGAATAGATGAACTGTCAAGTAAGAAATTTTCTGATGAGCCAAACTGATCTACATATAGGAATATGATTCCTAACCTGATGTTGTTGGCTACTGGAGAAAATGTAAGGAGACAATGGCGGGTTTATCCCTAATTTGATTCTTCCATAGACTTCAGTTTTAGTTCCTGCCATTCATGATAACCACTCTTAAGACTATGTGCAATGATGTGTAAATGTGTGTATTTTAAGCAACATGATGTGTCAATTTCACCAACTCACACACCAGACTACTCTCTCCCCACCCCATTCACCCCCTTCCTTGTGGAGAATGAAGATCTCTGAGTACAAACTAAACTTGTATGCAGACTAGTTATTGGCATAAGAATCTTAAAAATTACATTATATTCATCTACAAGATCGCTAAATACCAACTCACCTTGTTTTTGATAATGACATCTAAGCGAGAAATATAGCCGCGCACCGCACACTAGGCATAGATTTTCAACCTTGTTCCAATCATTCACTCAACTACACTGAACCATTCTCAATTTGGGATCAGCATTTATTTCTGACTCAGTTTGCTAGCCCTAGTCATGTGTATGACATAAAGATTATGATTAAATTTTAACACTTGGAACAATGGGTTAAGGTTTGACAGTTTGAACAATGGGTTATTCACCAAATGTTGTTACGTTTCAAAGTAGCAACTTACCACCCTATGTATAAATGAGTACTCCATAATAATATTGTAACAGCTGCATTTGGTATCATAAGATCATTACCCAGTAATCAATGCCATGTTAAGTTGTTAACATACAGGAGTTCATAAGTTTTAATCTACAGGCAAGCTACTAAAATAGGACATATGGTTTACATGAAAATTATTTCTTTTCATTTCCATTTCTCTCTTTATGATGATTAAAACGAAAAAATATAAAGATTTTCAGGGCTATAATAAAACTTTTATGTATCAAAATTCAAAAAGATGAAAGTTTCCATAGGTGTGGGAAAGATGTATATGCTGACCAAAAAAGGATAAACATGAAATAAATTTGTTACTGGTAGCAGATCTAACTAAAATATGCAGGACAAGAAATTTCCCAGGAGTACATGCAGGAAAAGAAATGTCAATACATTAATGTGAGAACTCCGTACTAATTAAGGAGAAGACACTAATCAAAGAAGCATTGCATTCAAATACAACAGAACATGATAATCTCAATCGCAAGTCTTTTTTATCTTTAAGTATTTTCTTAAAAACTTTAAGAAGAGTCGCTGTAAGCTTTAACTGTTTAGAGTAAACAGTATTCCTTGCTCTGGCAGAGAACATGTCCATACTGAAAGATTTTGAAGAGGATCTTACTGACGGAACTTACCTGACTACAGTCATAGTGATCAGAGTGAAATATTTAACAGAACATACACCTAAATGAAGAACAGGATGCACCACAAAAATGAATATACAACAAAATGGGGATTCCACTCTCATAAAGGTACAGTAAAGCCCAGGTGACAATATAAAACCAACAGTTTTAAGTCTGTGTTTCATATTTTGCTAGAAGAATCCCCAGAAGCCTACAAATGTAAGAGTTTAAATATTGTCCAACTTTATGATTAAAACACTCATCCACTGGCCATTTATAATATTATTTCATCAAATGGTCATTAACCTAATTTTTAAAGATTGTACAGGCGTTATATAACCCAACATGAATGCATGACACATGACAATATAAAGACAGAGGCTCACCATCCCAGAAAAGTTTATCTTAAAAATAATCAAAGCACAAGAACAAGGAAAAATAGCTCCTATTATAATTGTTTTCTAAACGATGAATGGCAAACGAAACTTGAGTTTCAGTAAAGAAAGCTTCAAATCCTACAAACAAAAATAAAATGATACAAAGGTAGTTTGGTTTTACGTCACAAATAGCAATTACTAGAAAACTACTAAATTCTATTGGACAGGGAAAATGGATTAACAAGTAACAACAAAGCTTTTTCCTACTATGTTGAAGAGGGGAGATTAAGCATATGTAATTCATAACTCAATAAGAGGAGCCACATTACAGAGAAGTTGAGAGGCAATCATTACCGGGCGCAAAGGAAGACCTGCAGGACTAAGAATCACATTCACTTTTGGTGCATTCGCATCTGGAGGAGGGTGATACCTATATGATGGACCAAATTTAACTTCCCCCGTTTTCCCGTAATACTGATATTCTGGGTGATTAGGCCCATCTGGAAATGCCTGCTCCTTCTGACTACTGCTAGGTGGACCAACTGAGGAACCAGAAGGTTGATAAGGTCCAGGATATGCAGCTGCTGATGAAGGTAGCTGGGTCATCCCGTACAGGTGTGCTGAAGCAACATTGGATGGAGTACCAGAAGGAAGTACAGGGCCTGTTGCAGGAGCCTGCACCAAGAGCTCAACAGTTACCTTTTCAATGAAAGCATACATATGACTAAGCAGTTGAAAAGAAATGCTCGACCTACTTGATAAGGACCCCAGCCAGAAATAGGGACCATGGCAGGGGACAATACCACAGGTCCATAGGGGCTCTGGACTAATGAGCCAGGCATCAGAGGTGGCCTTGCAACCAGTACACCAATTTGCTGGGATGAAGGACCGGGTGGAGGCTGTACGGTTGAATATAATGGAGAAGGTACAGGTACAGGTAAAGGCGAAACTGGGGCAACTGGTGATGGTGCTGGAATTTGGACCCCAGCAGGAAGCGGATGATGAAATTTACAAGTTGCACCAAACTTACATTGCCCCGTCTTCACATAATAGGAACACTCTTTCTCACCCTGTTAATTTTTATATTTTATAAACATTCAAATTCAAATCAAAATCTTTCAGCGAGTAGAAATGAGATTGTACAATCACAAAACATGCTAAACTTTATGCAGTAGCTACAAAGCAATACAGACCGGTCGCAACGGATATCCATAATAATTAAGTGACACAACGGTGGCACTCCCTCCAGCCTGCCGAGGGTGGTGGTACTTGCAAGAAGCACCGAATTTACATGATCTGGTCCTCATATAATACTGCATTTCGAGCATCAGCAGATATAATAATCAACACAAAAGGAAAGTCACAAACTTCAAAGACAACCAAAATAAAAAACATAACCACACTCCACCCCGAACATATGTAGATGACTGTCTTGAACACATTATTTTGCTTTCGCACAAAAACAAGAAGTTACAGTGGTAACGTCAAAGGCAATCATTTGATAAGTGCCCCCATAGTTTTTACTATTTAGCAGAACCGTATAAAGCACCTGGCACACAGGCTGGCCTACTCGCTCCGGATACTCCCCCACAGTCCTCTCAGCTCCAACAACCTAAGCAACACACACAAACATCTGCAAATTACGAAACACTAAACCACAGCACACAATGCAAACATCTTAATTCTTAACCAAGTGAAACAATGAAAAGTTGAAAACTAAGAGCCTCATGATTCAGCAAGATCAAACCAAACTGCAAACAGCCAAACAAAGAAGCACATGATCACATTAAAGAGAAACCCTTAACACATAAGAATTAACCAGCAACAACAAATTTACCGCAGCACGGTCACGTGGATGGTTGAACCGACACCGAGAACCGAAGCCACAGAAACCGGTCCTCAAATAGTAGGTGCAATCAGCCTCATTGGGGCGTTGCGGATACGATTCCTCTGCAGCACCCAATCCCAATTGCCACATAGGCTCTGCATTTTTCACAATCAAGATCGAACCCCGTTCACAACACGCCACATTCTCCCAAAACCACAAATCACAATCACTTAAACCAAAACAAAACCAACCAGAGAAACAACAAATATACATACCTTCGAGCCCGGTTTCTCCACCGGTTCCGGTCCATTCCGGCGACGGATCAGACCGCGAACCTTCACTGAACTGGCCGTACTGCTCCATTGCACCGACCCGAACCGGAGAACGGAGCTGATTGCACGGTTATCTGAAAAGCACGTTCAACGGAGAATGAGAGGCTCCGATCAAATGGACGTTTGATTGTAGACAGAGAAAGTAGAGAGAGAAGAAAATGAGGTTGGAATTTCTGGGGTTTCTCTCTCTCTAACTCGCAGAGACAGCGTTTGTCTCTCTCTCTCTTTCTCTCTCTCTCAGTCACTCACTGCTCACTTTCTCTTTCAGTTTCAAAGCGTTGTTCTGATTTTTGATCTTTCTATGCTCTTTACTCTGTGAGGGGCTTCTTTTATTGGTCTGTGAGTTTGTTGGTTGGTTTTATTTATATGCACCCGCCAACACAAAAATTACCGAATATATAATCTCCATTCGTTTTTGGCATTATTCCGATTATTAAAAGGAAAACATTTACGAATATTAATGAGAATCTACGGAAGGCAAAATATTGTGAGTGAAGCTGATTTGATTTGGGACTGAGCTTTGGAGCAGGTGGAATGGGCTGAGGCTGAGGCTGAGGCTGAGGCTGAGGCGTGTGCGATTTTGGCTTCGGGAGGAAGCTTTTTTAAATCACCATAATGCCCTTCATTTTCAACATGTGGAATAGTGGACTCAATACATCATGGGACATGACAGACTTGTCCTTTTGCATTACCTTAATACAATTAATTAATTATTTAATAATCAATCTTGTGGGCTATGGCTGACCGGTGATGACAACAGATGCAAAAAAGAGAATGCGATAGATGCTGTTGGCTCCACGTGGCATAAAAGGAGGATCTTCCTTAAAAGGGGTAAAAGGTCACATGAATTTACCATGTAACCAGGATTATCGGATACTTTCCCACACACAAACTTTAAGTACACAACAGTTATGCATGCCCTAACCTATTCTCCTCTCTGTCAGACTTATAAATTAATAATTGATAAACGTCTCTATTGCCATTTATGCAGTAGCATCAATATGGCCCTTCTCACCCGACTGACTCTAACTCTCTAAAATAAGTATTTTTTTTGTTATTAATATTTTTCCATTCTTATATATGTAACTTAGTTCTGTGTTTTATAATGTAATAAAAATTCACTTTATGTTCAAGGTAAAGGTGGTCTTTTAGGATACAACACTTTTTCAACCGTCGTTTTGTTGAGAGAATGTTTTCTCATCACAACACGTTTTAGATGTGGCCTATTTTATTAGCCTAATATCATAAACTATAAATTACTTTTGCTTCTCAATATTTTATAACTATGCGAGATTATGCCTCACAATATTTTATAAGTTAGTCACACTTCCGTCATTTATTGTATATTTAGATGAGAGATCAAATAAAATAATGATTTATGGTCTTTTAGGCATTTTAACCGATTAAGCTCGTATCGAATTTAATTGAATCAAACGAAAATATTAGTTTTAATTCAAATTTAAGAAATAAATTTAAGCTCTACGATGGGCGTATTTATATTATGTTACATTGAATTAATGATGGATTGCCAATTAAAGTGTATACGTCATTGATAACTAAATAACGTGATTATTATAAAATTAAATCTTATGTTAATTTCTTTTCATTTTCTTCGCTAATGTTACTCTCTTACAAAATTTCTTTAATGTTTCTTAGATGAAAATGAAGGTTAGTTATGTCCCATGGCAAATGGAAAACAGGAGATAATAGCCCTCGGATTTTTCTCCGTGTGTGCGTGGAAAATCCTTTGATGTCGGAAAGTGTATATCAGTATTACTTTGACCAATTTGACTTGAGTTCAATGAATTTGTTTAATTAAGGAAGATAAATTTCTCTCAACATATTTTTTTAATAGGTAATACTCATATTTGTTACTTTATTTAATAAAGCTTAAAGCAAGTAATCTTACATAGCACAAATATTTTGTAAAATCCATATAAAATATAAATTGAAATAATAAAAAAATTTAATTTATTTAATAGAATATGATTTTACTAATAATAAAAATGTATATTAAAATACAACAATACAAACATTTTTAGTTTTCAATTTCAAAAAATATTAAAGATGTTCGAAGTTAAAATCGCTTCAGTTAATGAATATTCAATATTGTATCTAAATTACGAGTCAATAAATATTAATATACTAGCCTAAAAGCTAACAACTAAGAAACAACAAACATTCATAGAGAGAGGCATATAATTTTTAATATAGATTTATATTGTTATCATTGTTTTTTTTTTTTTTGTCTTAGCCTCTTTTTTGTGAATGGGTTATGAAGTTGCTTCCATGTTTTGGGAGGACATGGGACTATGATTGCTTTGAATTTGCGGCGCAAAGATATCATAGATAGAAAAATGCCTTTGAAGGAGAGGAAAGATGATTCACATTTAATCATGTCTATCCAAGGATACTTAAAATGTCATTAAAACGATGTAAACAAAAATAATAATAATAATATTAAGTGGAAAGAAAAATTATACTATAAAAAAATAAATGCATGATTCGTAATAGTGGATTAAATTTGAGACTGGACTATAATTTATTTTTCAAAACAGAAAATTATTTTTAAACAGTAATTAAACATGTTTTAGACACCTAATAAATTATATATCCACAATTTTACTTATTTTTTACAAAAAAATATTTTTTATAAATATTTATCACATGCAAAAGAAAGTTCTTATATTAAATTGAGACATTTTTTTTTGTTCGTTTTTTAATGAAAGCATTAGATTTTACCGTGAGTTTAAATTCATAACTAAAAAATATTAACACGATATTGCAAAAAGGAAATAAAAATCAAACAACGTATAATGTATTTTACATTTTTTTTCAGTCTATGACATGATTTTAAATCAATTAATAAACAATATATTCATTAACACACTTTTAAATATAATTAAAATTTATTAGATGTTAAAAAAGTGAGAGTGTATTAAAAATATTAAATAAAATATTTTAAATTATGATTTAAACATTAATATCTCACAAAGTAATTAATTATAATTCGAATTCTGACAGAAATGAATATTTATATTTGGTTTGAATATACCTGGAAAAGAATTCACCTCTTATAAAAATTTAAAAAAAATCTGCTTGATTGTATGTTTTCTCTTTTATAAATAAAAATTCATTCAAAATATTTGTATAATTTTATAAATTTATTATTTTATTTCTTTTCATTTTTCCTCTTCATCCTCCTTTCTGCGTTTTTCTTTTTTCAATTTCTTTGCCAAACATTGCGCGTGTCCCGCTCAACCCACTTCCTGATTAGCTTGCGTCGATGTGGACCACACGCCCTCCGAAGCGCGTGAGATATTTCGTGGCGGAGAAGCGATAACGAAGAGAAAGTAAAAAAATTCCAACGGCTAGATCTGATACAAGAATGAAACGAACGATTTAAGATATTTCTTCCGTACAATTGTGAGATGTGACTGAAAGCCTTTTTAAAAATATCTTTTATTATTAATTTAACTTAAATATAACATTAATTTACAGTAAAACGCACTATTATTCATTTATTATAAAATCAAACTTAATTTAAGAGAATTTTTTCAGGTCCGATAAGTGGTGTGGGGAGTGTTATTATGGTGCAAAGTCCACGGGATTATACTTATGATGTGAGCAAAATGACCGGGTGCTGCCGGTGCGGATGCCCCGTTAACAGGGGTTATGAAACTGGCTAAAGTGGTGAACGGGTAGAAAGTAGGTCCTGATGTCACTGCCCAGATTTCGTAATAGCAACAAGCACTCAGCTCAGCTTAGTGACAAAAATGTCGGTGATTTTATTTTTTTCTTTCTTTAATGTTTGATTGCACACTTTTCTTTTCTTTTTCCTTTCTTTTTAAACCATCTGTTTTAGTTGGGAATTTGTGAGGTTAATTTTTTTGTTCATATTCGAGGCTTTACTATATTGTATTTTATTTAAACAAAATTAACAATGTCTTTTTTTAGTATTATTTATAATAAATAATTATTAGTATTTATTTTATCTTAATTATAAAAAAATTAAATGCATTAATTGTTAATTTTTTTATATTTTTATTTATTATAAGATTTATTTAACTAGCTATATTTATTTACTTAATATAAGACCCAAATTTATTATTTAACATCATAACTATTTTTAGAATTGAACATCCATTTTATGACATGTAATTATTTTTTATTTGTTTTGCCAAATTAAGTATTTAATTTTTTATTAAAGAGAAAATACATAAATAGACAAACTATAGAATACGTAAATTATCTAAAACTAAAATAATTAAAAATAATATTATTTAAACTATTAATCGAAATTAGGTAAAATATTATTTGATGAAAAATGCTATTTTTACAGTATATTTAGAGAAATAACATTATCACAAACTTTAATTTGTTGTGAACCTAGCATATATGTAGGTATGAGTTGTAAATATGTTTTGATGGTACTAAGGAACAATAAATGGGGTGATTTGCTTTTCTTTGTATCTTTGGATTTGGAAAAGAAAAGATTGAGGAGGAAGTGAGGGAATGGAAATGAATGTGAGTTAAAAAAGCAAGTCCGCATGGGCATGGAGGGTAGTGGGGTTTGACTAAAGACAACACTAATGCAGACTTTGCTACTTCCTAGACATCCATAATGCATTATGCTTTCAGAGGATCACGTTGACGCCAAAATGGCCTATTTTCTGTCCATTCAATGGGCTACGAATCTTCCGCTTTTGCCTCACATGCATCCACTGCTCTGCTCTTCTTCTGTTTGCATTATTATTTTTGTGTATATGTACACACATATGCATGCCATTTCCAAGTTTAGTTATATATGTTTGTGTGTGTTATAAAAAAACCAAGAAATGTATATAGTGAAAGCAATGCGGGCAAGTGTGGGAGTGTTTACTCTTACTCTCAAAAACATGTCTATAAATCTAGGTGCATTGCAATATAATTACGAGTTGTTTTATTCCTTTTTGGTTCTCTAGTTAAGTTTGACTTTTATAGTTAATTAAGGAGCAGGTGTAAGAAAAGTCAAAACTGCAAAAGTAGGACACATTGAAGACCTATAAGAATGAATGGAAACTAGAAAGCCTCGACCTCGTTGAGTGCGTATGAAGAATATTATTAGTTGAATGGCAGAAGGATATTATATAGGAGAGGTTGTCCCCCATCTTAAGGACATGTTTATTCTTTCTCATAGACTTATGTTAATTACCTATGTTAGCAAGATGTCCATCGCCAATCATTATTATTTAACTTGTTCTTCAAATGTGGTTTTATTTAACAACTTGTTAGGTTATGTACCCGCAACACAAATAATAATAATAAACACCAAAACATGTCCTTTTGTTTAAAATAGAATGCGGTGAGCGTGGATCGAACACGCGACCTTCAGATCTTCAGTCTGACGCTCTCCCAACTGAGCTATCCCCGCAGTCGATAAATGTTAAAATTTGTTATATCTTATTTCTAATATAATGTTTTTTTCCTCTCTGTTTTATAGTCTCTCATTATTTAGCCAATAATTTGAAAAATATTTTAAAAAATGCGATATTGACATTCTTCTTGTATGTTATAGATATTTGATGTAATACAAATTATTGAATAAGTTATTATTGAAACATTCCTAATAATATTAACACTGGGCACAGTGACGTAAAACAAAGCTCTTGAATGAACGCCATGTGCTTACGTTTCAAAAAATCACCTCTCACCTGCACATTGCAGGAACCAAAAAATAAAGTGAAAACGACCAAATTCTCCAAACAAGAGGAAATTCTGAGACAAAAATGTAAGATTCCCATAATGGTAAGTGGAAGCAACCCTTCTGATATAATCACTCAATGCAATGAAAGTAGCTTCCGCTGTGAAAAGCATAGTCCAAAACCTTGTCCTTCTTTAAGTTTCTCTTGTGGAATGCATTTAAATGCATAAGAGACATTATTGTTCCTACTATAAAGTATACATTATTGATAAATAAAATCTTTTCTTTTTTTCTGGCACATTAGAAACTGTAGTTCATCAAGATCAAAGTAGTTGCATGAGAAGGGAACTTGAAGAGATTCATCTACTCCCACTTCTTTATGCAAACCATTATGTCAACCTTTATACAAACCTAAACAATTGCTCTTTGTTGACCGCTTAAACATTTATCAATGGGCTTAGAAGAAAGTCAAGAAGGTAATAAAAATAAAAATGAAAGATCAAGAACAAAAAAGCAGATGAATATGAAGGAATGATGAGGATATTCTCAAATATTTTTAAAAAATGACCGGAGAGATAATAAAAACAATAAAAAAGAGAGAGTCAAATTCGCTTAGTTTTTTTTTTTAAAAATGATTAGTTTTTAAATGTTAAAAAAACACAAGTTTCACATAAATTAAACTAAAAGGATAAAGATACGTTAGCCTTCAAGTAAATTATTATACATTGAAGCAATTTTTACCAATGTATGAATCAGTTGGCACAATGTTGTCTTGTAGTTTAACCAATAGTTTGAATTTGAGACTTAAATATGTAAGTAACTTTATTAAATATTTAGAAGAAGAAAAAATGTTGTATTAATTTTGCTTAGCTTAAGCAAGATTGTCTCATATGAAAGGTCTAGAAAAAACTTTTAAACAAATTAATCATTTTAGATATCTTATTTGTAAACAGACTTTTTAAAACAAAATTAAGTCGCTAGACAAACATTGAATATTTATTCATTGAATATAGAATTCCATGAATATAAATATTTGTTACATTGATAACGACTCTAAAAACTATTTATTTAATTGTCAAAATTTTCAAACTATTGACTTAAATAATTGCGTTACATGGAAGCCATAAATTAATTAGAAATATACTGACGTTGTACATATTTATTTTGAGTTGAAGAATAAAAAAAGGGATGGTCTTTTCGTATTTGCCATCGACATTGCCTTTCTTCTCCACAATCAAAGCTACTATCGAAGGCTCTGAAATCACGTCTCCAATTAGGCATCTTCACCGAGCAATCATATGTTGGGTTCAAAAATTTACCACCACAAAACTTGAAAGATGCTTTTGGATTCAATTTATATATTGAAGTATACCACCAATTATTTGGATCATAGCATACCATAGTCACTTCATTTTTATTCATTTCATATTTTGGAACGTCATCACCTATATGATTTTCAATGGAAAGTGTATATGGCGGTGCTCCAAAGCATTCCCAAGTCCATGCATCTGATACCTTAGAAAACAATATCAACATTAAAATAATTTGCACTGCACCGTTTGTGTGAATCATAGAGATAGCACTGCCCAGTGATTTTTCTTTCATTGTTGCCATTCATAAGAGTCCTAAGATTGATCATGATGTTCACATTATGACCCTTAAATAGATAAAAGTAGAAGTCGTTATAATATTTAAAAGGGAAAACTCCTGAAGTACACTTTAATTTGTGTAATGTTAAACAAACTCCATTAATTATTTACATAAATGAAATATGGGACCATGCACGTTTGAAGATTATAAACAGAGTCAGGGTATTAAAGATAATTTTAAAATGAAAACCACATGAAAGAATATTCAATGAAAACCTTAAAGGACATATAATTAATGTAAAGAATAAATTACCTTACACATTATGTTGCATAATAAACTTGATCAAAAGGTATTCTGCTAATATATTAGAGTCAATCAATCTCGATGCGAGAAAATTTAGGCTTTTTGGCATGATTGCCTTTTGAATTACTAAGCAATCGCCATTCTTATCTCACTTCCCAGCTACATCTTCACCTAAATTACAACGATACGGGTCAGCGCTTGCTTTTGGTGACCATTCAGATAAGTCTTGCATTTATTGAACAAAGGTAAGGTTAGTGAGTTTCTTTGTTTTGCAACACGGATATTCAAGTATTGGAATGGGCTTTTGTGTAGGGATTGTTTTCAAGTGCCTCCCAAGTTTGTGAGTGTAACATGACTTGTGTACGCTACCACCATATGTTGTGCATTGTCACATTCATCTTTTAAGAACAGGCTGGAATTTTTTTTCCCATTTAAACTATTTTTCAACAACCTATGCCCATTTTTGTTCCCGGTTTTAACTTTTTCACCGTTGGACGAGGCTTGAAGGGAAACTCGAACCAATATTGAACAAAGACCAAGTAGATTGCAAGGTAATTTGTTTTTCGGTCCCTGTCAATGTTCAACATCACAAAGGTTCATCCGTCGAGAATTTTTAACAAGGTACTATCCTTACATCTGCTTTTTTTGTAATTTTGGACAAACAGACTTAAACCATCTGTGACCGGTTCTTTAAAAGCCCAGTTTCCTATACATGATATGTTGAACTATCGACAATCTTAAGTTCTAACCACTAATTTTTTCGACTAAAATTTATCTAATACTATTAGTTGAAGTTCCTGTTAAAAGTGAGAAGCAGCAAACATTAACCTTAATGCTGTGTTTAGAAAAAAATAATTCTATATTATTAGATTATATATATTTGAATAATAATAAAAAAATATTTTAGTAATACTTCAAATTTTTAATTAAGTAATTTTTATATTAAATAAAAGCATTTCATAGACGAATTTTATATTTCACAACTATTATACTTCACTGATTTAAATCATACTTCATTACTAATTTCATATTTACTAAAAAATTTAAAATTCTACACAACCTTAGAATCTCATGCAATGTTAGACTTAGATCGTTTCTTTTACATCAATTTTATATTATTTTGACACTCCTGCTTTTACTTTCAGATTATTTGCCTAGAAAAATAAAACAATCATTTCATAGCCAAATAAGTAGCGTCACAGGCCAAACCACCGATTCCATCCAGTCATATTCCACAAAGGTTATGCCCCTTAGTCTGACATTAAAACACGGAGAAATGCATTTGAATGTGTTAGGAGAGTGAGCATTATTCCTTCTAATAACTATTAGGCAGAATTCGGCATAGATAATATCTGGATTGACAGTAATAAACTCGTTTAATTCTACTCAATTATCAAATTGACCAAGATAATATCCAACAGAAACATAAAGATTAACCCAAAAACGATAGTCTAAATCCTCAAACAAAATCTGGCAAGAAAAACCAACGGGAATGTTTCCACCAAAAACATCTGATAGAGACACCCTTAAATATTTGTAACACATGAATCAACCACATTACATAAACAAGTTGGGCTTTTTCGCCTTATATGTGGTCTTCAACTTCCTTGAAGGTGGCCTAACTTTCTTGAACACCAATGGAAACTTGATTTTCGAGTTGTGGAATTGTTTGGTGCTTTCCCTTTTGCAAAGCTTGGCTGGGACGGTGGCAGTCTTGATAATTTGGATGCAAGGGTACCGGACCCTGTGACGAGAAGCCATCTCATTGTACATCTGCTCAACTGCACCATTTAGTGTGGTATCACGGTACTCCTTGTACATGTTGTGATAGCCTGTCCTACTCTGATACCTCAACCAGATGCCATAATTCTTAATCTTGGTTGGGTTCTTCTCAAAAATCTGCAAAATAAATTCATTTGAGATGGATGTATTTTAATATACTAAAATCTACACAATTTGCCGACAGAAAACTACTCAATGTATTTTCAATTCAGTTGACACAAATTGCATATCCAGACACATTTTGGTATGCACAATGATGTCCATTAATAAATGTCATGACACAAACTAACTCAACAGATTACTTAGTTCACTTGAGATACTGAAACCATAGGTTATTGACAAGTTCAGAAACAGTTCATGCATGAACTAACTTGAATGAAGTTGCATGTCATGAATAATTATTTATAGCTAAACTCTGGTCAAGTATAAACAATTCAGCATATGCAAACATCAAACAGGCAATTCAATTTTTTATGCAACCTTTTAAGCAAAAAGTAGCCATCATAGGAAAATATAAAAGCTAGATCACTCAAATAATATAATATCAGTGGCAATTTGCTTTCAAAATTTATATAGAAGGATTTCAGCTTGGCCCGTTGAATTTGGAACACAGAGAAGATATCACCATCTTCGTCAAATAAAAATAACACTTCACACGTAAATTTTGCAATACTTGAGCATCATTGTTATTCAATTCTGAAATATGGAACATAAAATATTTGTGAGAAACTATCCATGCCATTTTCCCCAATCATAGTTCCATTCACAGATTTGATCAGAATACTCAGTAACAAGTAAATGTCATGTAACCATTAACCTAGATAACATTGACTATCATGAAAGCAAAGCAACTCGACCCAACAACATTACACTATCCTCAACAATTTCCAACGTAATCAAGACATTTTATCATATTTTCAGCTTCTCAAACCAAATTTTCAAAACATCAGAAAAACATCTAGAAAGAGAAACAAACAAAACAAAATAAATCGTAAGCGAGATTGTACCTCATTGATAGCAAGGACTTGACCATTACTCTTCTTAACCTTCTTCAGCTTCCTCAGAAAATACCTATTTAAAAAAAAACAACAAATCCCCAAAATTAAAAACACAAAACAATTAACTCAAATTGATGAAATCATGAAAGAAATAATCGAGCGAAACATTACATTAAAGATCTCAGAAGAAAAACCCTAGACAGATGGGGGAGGAAGCGAGAGACGAAAGAGTTTACCAGAACTTGGACTTGGCGCGAACCTCGTTGGTGGCCCATAGCTTCATGCGATAAATCTTCGGGTGTTCATCTGCTTCCGTAGGGAGAGCCCTCCCAACAACTTGGTATTGGTGGTACTGCAAAGCACAAAACAAACATCACTTCACAAAAATGGATCTCAAAAGAGAACGAAATCGAATAGATTGTACCCATTTTACTAACCCTGAATGTAACCATTTCTGAGACTAATGAAGAAGCACGCACGCACTCTCTCTCTCCCTCAGTCTCGGTGCTGTGACAGAGGAAGAAGAAGGTAGGGTTTTGATTATATATGAAGCGCCACGAAACCCTAGTCTGGAGCACTTTGGTAAGAAGGGTTGTCCTTTCTTTGGGCCGGACCATTTTGAGGCCCGAAATATTTTTTAAAGGAAAAATATTATCCTGGCCAAAAACAAAAAGGAAAAATATTTTTCAGCCGAAAGAAAGGGGAAATATAAATCAGAATGTATTTAAAGAAATGTTTAATTGATATATAATTATGTTAATGATAGTATAAAAATGTTTGAAATTCTTAGTTTTAAAACTTCTAAAAAAAGTTTAATTGATAAAAAAATATTTTGACGGTAATTGATAAATATTTTATTATCATTAGTGTTAATTGAAAAGAATATTGGGTAAATAAAATAAGAAAATTAAAACATTTCTTTAACTAAATTAATAGTTTCAAAAATATTAATTTAATTTGATAGAAAATTTTATAAAACAAATGTAGCAAAATAACAAAGAACCGTTCGGAAAAAAAAAAGGATGACTTAAATGTCATGAAAGAAAATGAGATTCAAATACTGTAGACGGGCGACTTTTCTATGCATTGAATGTGATCTTTTTAATTTAAATAATTAAAAAAAGTAAAAATGTATCAAAGATGTCTTTAGAGTTAACAATAAAGATTGTATTTTATTCAATAGTAATATATTAAAAGGATAAAAAATTATCTAAAAAATAAATTATAAAAAGTAATTAAATCCAATCATGTTATTTTTACGTACATCAATTTAATATGGTATATAAAAATTTAAATTTAATTGATTTTAAGTTTTATTGTTAATATTTTGTGGTGTTTGACTACAAATTTTAATTTTGTATTGTATGAAAAAAAAAGGGGGACCTATCAACTTTAACTCTATCAAGATTGTTTGGATGAATGTGGTATTCAATATTTATGTTTTGGCAAAGAGATTACTTTAAAGAAAAGTTAAACATTGTTGTATCTAATGAGTCATGGAAGCTTTCATTTTAAAACAGTTGGGTAATTTATATTTATATTCTCAAGTATGATTGTGTTGCTTTGTAATTTAAAATTAACGATAAGTCTGACTTTTACAAAATATTTATCTCAAACTTATTTCTCATAAAAATTTAACTTAGTCAACATTATGAGTTCCTTACGAAAGAAATATCAACAAATCTTCGATCAGGGGAAAAAAAATGTTTGTATCGTCACTTTCAAGCTAAATGGACAATGAAATAAGAATCCTAATTTGTCTTACAAAGGTGTTAATTTTTGTGGCCAAAATAATTTAATTAAAATTTTAAAGGATTATAATTGCAATTGAAAATATGATCTTATTGAAATTAAAGTAACTATCTTAAATTACTTTATGAATATTTATTATAGCTTGATTCTAATTATTTCTTTTTAATCAGTCAACATTCTTTCTTTCCTTTTAGGAATAAACATAGCAATAAATAATATTATGATATAACCATAGAGGAAGTTAAACTCCTTATTTAGTATTGGCAAAGTAAAATTTCATGGGTTTGTGATTTACATGTTTTTTTTTTTTTCAAAATATAGTGGAATCCCCCTTTTTTATTTACACTTGTTAATAATATTTTTAATAATTCTTAGAAAGTTTCGTAAATAATTATTACTTTATTCGAAGTTTGACAGTTTTTAAAATATTTAATAATTTTACATCTATCTTTTTGTGTAATATTTATAAAGTTGTTATAAATATATTGGTTAATAAAATAAAACATTATTTATCTTATCTAGTCTTTAAAAAGCAATATAATTTTATCATTGATAAGCATGATATTGACAATGTTATTATCTTTTAAAAAATAACTGATTCATTCAATAAATAATAGGGCAAGATTAGTTATATAGTCACGAAGACTTAAAAGAAGTCCATAATAAACTTATATCGAAGTTTATTATTAATTCTCTTAAAAATATTAGCTTAAATCACAATTTTATTAATATTATCTATCATTGTAAATTCATGTCTTTAATTTAAATTGATAAACAATGGTAGCATTTTTTTCTGGACTTATAGAGAAATTAGACAAGAAATTTCTTCTTCTTTTTTTCCTGTATTTTTGTTGTATGTAGTAAGGAATTGAATCATTTAATTAAGAATAAAATTTTGAATGGGAATTGGGTATTTTTTTTATTTTTTACTCTCATAAACCCAATATTTTTCATTTATTATTATTTTTTGTTGATAATATTATTTTAGTAGTTAAAGTTGATTTTTAACAAGCTGACATCACTAAAACTATTTTGGTTCAATTTTGTTTATCTTTTGGGCAATCAATTAATAAAGGCAAATTCACATTTGTTCTTGTTTTTGAAAATATTGATAGCACCGTTATAAATTCTATACGTTATTCTTTGGATATAAAATCTACTAAACATTTTGTTACTTATCATAAAATTCGTGCTGAGCGCCATAAACCTTTTTGGCAAAATTTTTCTTTCATTATAAACAAGATTAGAAAAAAAATGTCTATGTAAAAATGAAGGTTTTATCCTTAGTTGGTAGGGTTTGTAATAAAATCAAAATATATTTTGGAGTTAGAAATGACTGTTTTATTGGATGTCAAAAAATATGTAAACCAAAATTAGAAGAACTATGTTTTAGAAACATTCAAGCGCTTAACACGGCTTACATGATGAAACTTGACTGAAGATTCATTATTTCTCAAAATTAATTGTGGGCTCAAAATTTTAGAATAAAAATTAAATTTATATTTATATATGGTAATGATCCTAATACTTTGTGTTTGAAAAAGATTAGTGTCTGTTTGATTTGCTTAATCTTAATGTCTGAGTTAATTTATAGAGGTTGTATTAACCATTATAGCATAGATTGATAATTAGATTTAGGATATTAACAATCTCAGTAGTTATTTTTTTTTGTTCCTTCCTAAGATTGCTAGAATTAGGATAAATTACATGGTATGCTTCCTATGCAAACATGTTATCTCATTGGTAAAATTAGCCCCCCTTCTATTTCTGGTGATCAAAACTCTATTTTCTAGAATGTATATAAGGATTATGTTTTTTTATTATTATTAAATATGCCTAACATTTAATTACTAATCTAATAAATAGTCAATTTTCTATTAACGCTACTTTTAATGTGGTTTGGAAATGGAAGGACATCCAAAAATTACTTTGCTTCTTTAAAAATTTTATCATGCTAAGTTGTTAACACTGATGATAAAAAAATATAGGAGGGGCATATTTTATTCTTATCTTTGCCCCATATGTGGCAACGTTCCTAAAACTATTATGCATGTCCTTCGAGACTATTTTATGCCATCACTTTTTCTCATTTGATCAATGGGGTTATTTTTTGCGATTTTGATCTTATTACTTGATTGTACTGTAACTTATGAATTAGTAACAAAAAAAATTTTGTAGTTGGAATAAATTATTTGATATTATTATTTGGTACTTATAGAAAAATAGAAACTCCTTTTTTCAACAGTCCTTTGTTCGGCCTAAATTGCTAGCCATCAAAATTCTTATTGATGCTTATTGTATTGGTTCTTATTTCAAGGGTTGTTGCAGTGTTTTTTCTAGGATTGCCAGGAACTCGATTCTAATTAAATGGATTCATCCTAATTTTGGGCAGCTCAAGATGGACCATATTTTCATTCAAGTTAAGCAACAATTTATAGAGGGCTAATCGTGATGATGAAAGTCGTTTATAGCTAGTTTTATTAGTATGGTTGATCATTGTTCTCCTTTCTGTTGAATTATGATATATGTATATAAATGTCAAGCTAGTTTCATATGGTATTCAAAATATTTGAATTGAGAGTAATTGTAAGTATGTTTTTAATTTAATTTTGAATGTTGAAAATCGCCTTCATCCTTTTCCTTTTTTGATTGAATCCATTAGGGATATCTTGAAATCTATTTAGTTTGTAAGATTTATCCAAATCTGTAAAAAGACAAATTAGTACAATAATAAACTAGCTAAAGTAGGTGTTGATGATCTTCCGCCTTGTATATTTTTAGATCAAATCTTTTTATGAGTTTAAATGTTTTAAACATTTATTCTCCAAGGGCTCAGGATTAGTTCTCTTATGTGTTTTTTAAGCTTTGAGCCCTATTTACTAACTAAAATTAAATAATAAGTTTACAAATAATAAATTACTTAATGTGTTGATGCAAACAAAATAGTACGTCTTAATGGAAAAGAAAATATGGCGTAAAGATATTTTCATTGTGTTTATATTTATAGGAGCAAATAATAAATGTAATAAATTAATAATATGCAACTAATATTGATCCTTAAGGGAAAAAAAATTTCAAAATTTAAGAATAACTTAAGTTTTAATTTAATTCTTTAAATTTATTTATTTATTTTATTTTATTCCTTCAACTAAATTTTTTGTGCCAACATTTTCCGTTCCATCTCCTCCGTCTTCCGACTCAATAGAAACACCCCAGAGTTGTTGCACTTTTTGTTCCAACACTAAAAAGAGAGAAAAGATATTAGTTTGCTCCTTTTTTTTCCTTCTCTTGGGACCCTTTTGCTTTATCAGAAAAATGGAGAGGATGAACTAAGATTTATTTTGATTATTTTACCAAAAACCAGGTAATTTATTTAGAATTTTACACTTCAACTGTTAAATACTTTATCACTATTATTTTGAATGTCACAATAATCAAAGGCTACACTATAAGGTATATCCATGCAATTTACCATCAAAGGTGCATGTCAAAAGGACTCGAACTCTCTCTAGTTAACACAGAAACTATACATCAACTTTTATTTTTGTTTAAAAAAATGATGAATAAAGCAAAATTTTCATCCTTCCCGACCATCTTGGCTAATGGAATGGATAAGGATGTGGATATTTATTTATACACTGTAGGCATGACGTTAGAAGAAGCTGCATGTGTTGGCTGAGAAGGATGAAAAATTTGCTTAAACAATTTTTTAATTATTATTATTTGTTGTTTTGCTCATTTTTTTTCTTAAGTGAAGCTAAATTCGCTTAAAAAAAATAAAACTAAACAGTTTCCATATTAACTAGAGGAGCTCAAGATCAATGTCAAGAGGGAGCCTTGGATGAAAATGGAGGCTGTAGGAATCAATGTAATGGTAGAAGCAATGACATTAGTCGGCGAGGTGTGAGTGCTTGTAGCAACGCATACTATGGCTAGGAAGTGATATTATATCTCTAAGTTATTATTTTAAGAGTGTATTCACTCTTTAATTTTAGACTCTTGAGTCAAGAGGACATACACCCTACTTTCGCACTTTCAAAACAAATTTTCATTTACTCATCTGTTTACAAATTTCATTGATTCTTGCTAACGTGTAGAAAATGCAATTGAGGTTCAATTTCCAATAACAGCAGCCAATTGCAACTTCCACACTAAGGATTCCAAAAGTACAAATTACAACAATAAAAGCTCCACGTGATTGTGCAGGTCAAAATGTACAATAAAATTTGTTCTTCATGTCAACATCCCAAGATCTCCATGTGTGTGACACCAAGGGCAACGACTATCAGAGTAACAAAGGACTGCAAATTCAATTATACAGTCCAAGTGAACACAGGCAAGACAAAACCACCTAAAATCTAATCGATCAATAATACCGATAATAATAAAATTTTGAAGAAGTAAACTCCAAAATTGACAATCCAAATATTAAATTATCATTACATATTAGTTCTTTAAATATATGCTTTATGGATTTATTTGGTGGGCAACCTAAGAACCTATTCGGTGGAAAAAAAAAAAAACTCCGTAAAACTTATGTGGTGACATGCTAATTTTCGAAATAACAATTTAGAGGCTTCCTTTTAATTTTAGAAAAAAATACTTACAAAATCGATGCTTTTGAAAAAGTGCTTTAGTGGATTTAAAAAATTAATAATGCATGAAGTACATCGATATTCAGAAGATTGTACTAGTGTGGAATATTGATGTAGTGTTTCACAGCAGAATAAAATGAATCTGCTGCAATGAGTTTGCAGCTATGCAACAGATCAACTTGGATTAAAACTATTAAAGGAAAATGATAGTTGATCAATTGGAGAACATCTTATTCATTTTAGGTTTTAAAAATTAAACGATATCCTAGAGCAACAAGGGTACCACTGTTGTGATCAATAGGAGGGGCAAGGAGGTTCTAAACATAGTAAAACCATCTTGGAGGCTTGGAGCAATTTTTAATATTAGGAGATGATTGCTTATACCAATGTACATATCAGCCTAATGCATTTCATGTAATTCTTAACGTGAGCTATTTCGCCACCTACGCCTTCCACCCCCTTTACAATCATCATCGCCAATCTATATAGACAAAATGCATATAACATATCTCAGACACTGGTTTTCAACTCAAACCAAATATCTCCTGGTTGAATGACACACACATATCCAAGTGCCAAGATTAATTATAAATTAGAAAATTAGCATTAAAATGCTACTGAAGTGACTTCTAGATTTTGATTAGTATCTGGGGAGCAAAACTATATTTTAAACTTCACTTTCCCTTTAGAGGACTGATTTGCAATATCCATATGAGACATATTTAAGAAACTAAACTGCATCAACCAAAACTATCTTCCAAAGTTTATTAGGCCCCTAGCAACTATCACATGACATGAATTCCAATCATTAATGCATTAAACGCATATTAAGGTAACTTAAAACATGTGAAAATGAAATAATTTATGAAGAAAACTTACAGCAACTGCGCACGCAATTAATCCAGGCTTTTCTCGGTAATCCATATGTACACACATTAGAATGAAGGTTCCAATGTACCAGGGAATGCCACCAAGAATGAAACCAATTATAAACCTTGTGATACAAATTAAATTTAGACAATCAATATCATCAGAGAAAATTATTAATACTTCAAGAAAATTGAAGGTGTGTTAGAGGATTGAAAACTCACAAGAGCCAACCTAAACCAAGTCCACAACAAGGAAGACGACGCTCTCTTACAGGCCTTCCTTCACCAACAGCATAAACTTCCAAAACACAAGAAACATAGTGAATTCATGGTTCGTGCAGATTCCATTGAACTTTTTTCTATATTGAGAATAAATAAATTATTTATGCCAAATCCATTAATCTCATTTTTTAAAAATATTTTTCCTTCTTGTAACAACAGAGAATAACATGAATGGGTCAAAACCGTAGGAAGGGGCACCGGAGGATAGTAGTTGAACTCAACAGAGGTATGAAATTATGGTTGTACCTGGAACAACGTGGTATCCTTGTCCTTGATGATAACCGTAAGAAGGGGCACCGGAGGAAGCAGAATGGTTGTGAGGAGGATAGTAGTTAGCGACGCCTTGAAATGTGCCATAATAAGGGTTATCGGTGACAATTCCTCTGTTCTTCCCCTCCTCACTCATCGGAGAAACCTCGGAAATCATGTTCCTACTTCCTCAATTCTCGATCATCATTCTCATCGTACGCGTTTATATCGTGTCGTTCACCTTTAATAATGTTTTGCATTTCTTTTCTTCGCGGCCAAGGTTTGCCCAATAAATGGGCTTAATAAAATAAAAAAAAGGCCCAAAGAGCCCAAGTCAATAGTGGAACATGAAATTTTAAAATAAAAAGTGGGGCATTGCAGTAAAAAAATAAAGGTTAGGGGTAAGACTGCAAATTCCGGTTCTTCCTCTCTGCAAAACCTTAATCCCACTTTGCTATAAAAGCGAAGCAAACGCTGCCACCATTTTCCACTTTGCAAATTACGCAGGAGCAGCGTTAAGAGCCGAAGCTTCATCCAATCTCTGCAACCCTAAGTTGCATTGCAACCATGGTATGTAGATTGTGAAAAATCCATAGGCTTGTTACGTTGCAGTTGAATGCGTGTGTTGGTGAGGATACGGTGGTGTGTCTAGGAATGCAATTATAATTGGGATTTTTTTTTCTGGCGCAGTCGAAGAGAAAGGTTAGGGAGCCAAAGGAGGAAAACGTGACTCTGGGTCCTGCTGTTAGAGATGGTGAACATGTCTTTGGTGTGGCTCGCATCTTTGCGTCGTTTAACGATACCTTCATAGTGAGTAGAATCACTTGTTTTTATCTATTAGCTTTAATTTTTATTTGCTGAGTTCTGATTGTAATTTGATGTCTTTCATTATTTTAGCATGTCACTGATTTGTCTGGGAGGGAAACTCTTGTTCGCATAACTGGTATGAGTGTTTCTCTTCACCTTACTGTAACTGATAAATTGTTATTTAGCTATTTAATTTTCCTGATTTGATTAATTTTCAAATATTTTTATTGCATTAATATTGGAATAGTCTATATCTAATTTCAATTGACTTCATTTCGTTAATGTAAACTTATCTGTTAGATTTTCTTAATATTATTTTTTATCCTCTATGAGATCCTAATGTTAGGACGTAGGTTTTTCCTTCTGAAAATTTATATTTTGCATTATCTTAATGTTTACTTCTCTACTAACAGAAGTTTACTTGGGAACCATTTGTGGCTCACCAAGCTAACATTCTTCACTGATAAATAATTTTGGTAGAGTCTTACTTTTTAGTGGATAGATGAAAACTGCTTTGGGTTCCTTATCCCTTTGCTTTCGAACTTTAGGTGGAATGAAGGTCAAGGCTGACAGAGATGAGTCATCTCCATATGCTGCTATGCTTGCAGCCCAGGATGTTGCTGCCAGATGCAAGGTCAGTGGGTTTCTCTTTAACTTAGTTCTTTCTATTAACTGTATTAACTTTGTGAGTTTAATTTTCTTTTATTTTGTATGTCTTACAGAATTTCAACATGATCATTGGTATTTTTAGTCAATATTACTGGACATTCTTTATAGTTGCCTGTTTCAGTGATTTTGTTCTGGTCATGCTGTGGGAAATCACTGTAATAAGTAGATGGCATTTTATGTGAAGCTTTCAAGCTTAATGCAAAATTTCAAATTATTGTGGAGCAGGAGTTGGGCATTACTGCTCTTCATATCAAGCTCCGTGCCACTGGTGGAAACAAGACCAAAACCCCTGGTCCTGGTGCTCAGTCTGCCCTTCGGGCCCTTGCTCGTTCAGGAATGAAAATTGGTCGCATAGGTATTTTCATTTTAAGAAATCCATAGTTAACTTGCTTTGTTTGTTATGCAAATGTCTTATAGTTGTCTTTGCTATTTATGTATATCTAATATTGTATAGCTATTTGGTTTAGTCATCAACTTCCTTGTTTTCTCTGAAGGGTTGTTTCTTTTTTATTTCTATATTATTTGTATTTCTCAGTTTTGCTTTTTGATTGATTTCATTTGTATAGCATTTATTGATAAATGTTAATTTATGCTTGTTTTTTGTCCAGAGGATGTGACTCCCATTCCTTCAGATAGCACCCGTAGAAAGAGTGGTAGAAGGGGTAGAAGGCTTTAAACTTATGGTATATGGCTGGAGTTGCTATACTTTTCTTACCATGTCAAACAGAATTGTGGCATTCTGAAATTTAGCTAAGTTGGATTTTAATATTGAAACTTCTATTCTATTTTCGAGGTATTGAACAAAGTTTTAGTTTAGAACTTTTAGACATTGATAAAAAAGTTTTGTATGTTGAGGCTTGCGCCGGTGCTGATCATCTACATTTTAAAAGGTTCCCTACATTTTGTTTCCTCACCTAATGTTAATTCTGTTCTCGCCATGACCATTTAAGTTTAAGCGAATATTTGAAAGAGTTTATGAACTAACATATGAAAAAAGCTTACAACTCATAAGTTGTATGTAGCTTATTTTATTAAGTTTCTTGATATAATTTGTCAAAATTAGCTGTTTTTATTTTACTCTATTAAGTTTAATGATTAAATTTATGGCATAAGTTATAATAATTTAAAGATTTTATTTAATAAGTGCTTAATTAAGAAGTGTATTCAAATGACCTCTTAAAATAAGAATGGATTGGAAAACAAAGTGTTGCATTTCAATGTATACCTTGTGAATGTACGGCTTATGAACCTTGTTTAGTATTAGGCTTGTCGTGATGGATTCAAATCACTTGTCTCACTATTTTGTCTTCTCAATTAATACTTCCTTTAATTGCTTTATTAAATTAATTTTTTGAAGAAACTGAAATTACTTGTACCTTTATTAAACTTCATTCGAATCGCAATTATATTTCATTACTACATAATTCTACTTCAAGAATATTAATAGCATGTCTTCGTGAAAGAAAGCAAGAGCAGTAAAATAATTGGACCAGAGTACAGTTACTCAACATATTTTTGTTAATTAAATTTTAAAGTCGGTTTTCCATGCCCTCTGTTTTAGGTGAATTATGCTACTCTTTTTTGTCACTATTAAAATTAATTGAGTTTCGTAAACATATTTTCAAATTAATATTTTTAAGTAATTTACATATCATTTTCAATGAAATCTTAGTTTATTTAACAAGCAAGTTTATTTTAAATCAGCTTAATGCATGTTACGTTATAGGATATCAACGAGACATCAGACTTTCCCTCACATCATACATGTTCTGAAGTACTAACTAGCTAGATTTTATCGCCATTATTTACTATCTTAACAGTTATAAGGCATAGCAAGAGAGCTGTGTTTTCTTGTGTGAAACAGAAATGTTGGGATCTAATAATATTTTTTCATCCATGCTTTTGTTTTTCTTGCTTTTCATTACTTTCATCAAGAAATATTTTTTTAAAAGTACTTTTTTGATGATGTTTGGATTGATGTAAGGTGAATAGAACGATCAAGTTTTGTTGTCTGTGTTATTTTTGAAGAGGTTTGCGAACATACACTCATTTTTTAGGAGAAATATTTTGAAAAGCTACACCTTGACACCTTTTTATTTTTCTTTATTTCATTTTATCTCAATTTCATTCTAATCGTAGGTAAACATTCAATTACATCCTTTACCGTACTTAACTGAGGTTCTCCGATTGGATTGACTCCGCATCATATATGTTCTTGTATTGTAAAATTGGGTTGCACGGTGTTTCTGGAGGATTTAGAGGGGAGCAGAGTTAAACTCTCCCCGAAATTGGGAAGAAATAGAGCGAAGGTTTTTTCATTAATTATATCAAAGAAAGTGTCTCTTTACTCGCTTCATTAGAATCTCTCTTTACTCTCCTTCCTTTGAACCAAATAATCGTTAAAATGTCGTAGGTTGTTATATGGTCCTTGATAGTTTTTTTTCAGTCCACATGTGGTCCTTGATAAGGTGAACAAATGATTGCAACTTTTATATACCCAATGTGAGCAAAAACATTTTCCTGCATCTTTTTTCAGTTTGCATTTTTTTTTGGCGTATAGAATAAAAGTCTATAGAGGGGAAAGCTGTGAACCGGTACCGATTTAATAACTTCAAGCACTTTTGCAAAATATTAAGAAAAAACAAATAACGAGTGGGATTTGAACAAATATATTTGTCATCTTAAAGGAGTGATTCATCTTACATAAAATAAAGTAAAATAAAGTAAAGAATCTTGACCATTACATAAAAAAAAAAAAAAGTAAGAAATTGAGTTTTAAAAAATTCGTTATTTATAACACATGCATAACCAATCATTAATTTTTTTTCTAATAATTTTACGATCAACAATAACAATTCTACCATGGTTATATATTTGTAATAATACTATTATTATTATATTCAATGCATACCAAGTCGATAATAAAATAAAATAAAATAAAGCATACTAATTAAATAAATATACTTTTAATTTTAATATATTTTGATGTTATTTTAATAAAAATTCATAGTTTGTTAATTTCTGAACTAATATGTTAAGAATTCTAGTGAGAAAAACCCTTTTAAAATATGTAATTTTTATAATTCTTGAATGCAAATTATGTTTTTTTTTTTCCATACGTGTGAATACTCAATTTTATTCAGGTCTCTTTCAAAAATAATTTTAAACTTTAAAAGTAAAAAAATAAAATAATTAGATTTCATAAGAGATTAAGATATAGATATAGAGCTAATTTAAAATAAGATTTAAAAATGATCAAAATAGTTTTTAAATTTTTAGGAGAGTGAACGAGACACAATAAAAAACTTATTAGTGGTCATTAAAAAATAAAAAATTGTGAATAATTGGAGCCTTTTATTAAAATAAAAATACATATTAAATAGGATTTAGAGTTTAGAGGGTGAGTTATAATAAAAATGTGTTCTTAAAGAAAGGAAAAACTTTTTTGAGAAAGCACGAGAGAAAAAGAAAAAAGGAATTGGGAGAGTTTTGGAAGACAAAGAAGCAAAATAGAGAGAATTCAAGAGAACCCAATAAACAAAGATAAAGAGGAAGAGAAGGATCAAAGAAAATTAAAGCTTTGAAAATATTTGAAAACGAAAGAGACAAGAAGGAGGAACTAACATTCCAAGGTCACTAAAAATTCAAAAGCACAGAAAACAAATTTAGAGTTTTAAAGAAGATATCCAATCATGAATCATAAAGTATTACAAGGTGTCAATAAAAAACCTTTGTTTGCTAAAACAAGTAAAAGTTCTTCTTCTTATTATTATTTTTCTTTGTTTTTGTTCTTTATTTATTTTGTGTATTCCTCTCTTATTATTTATTTGTTCATCCAAAGATTTAACAATTTCAAACTCTAAAAAGTCTAATTCAATACAAAATTTCTCTTTTTTTCAAACCCTACAACTCTTAATTTTTTTCTAACCATAAAAAATTTACTTTTTTTTTTCTAAACCCTAAAAAACCTAATTCAATAAAAATATTCTCTTTTTTTAAACCCCAAAAGTCCTTTTTTTTTCTAACCCTAAAAATTTAATTTTTTTCAAATGCTAAAAAACATATTTCAATAAAAAAAATCTTCCTTTTTTTCAAATCTTAAAAGTCCTAATTTTTCTAACCCTTAAAAAATTATTCCTTTTTTTAACCCTAATTCAATAAAAATTATTCTTTTTTTCAACCCTAAATTTCCTTTTTAACCCTAAAGGTCATTTTGCAAATTTAAAAATTTGTCCTTTTATGTAAACCTAAAAAAAATCCCTAAAAACATAATTAATGCTAACCCTAAAGGTCTTTTTGTAAACATATATATTGAGAAAAAATGAATAAAAAAAGAATTATATATATATATATATATATATATTTAAAAAGGAACAGACTTTTAGGATTAGAAAAATTTAGGTTTTTAGGAATTTGCAAAAAGGAAAGAGTTTTAGGATTAGGAAAGTGTTAAGTTTTTAGGGATAGAAAGGATCTAAAGATTTTTTAGATTTGCAAGAAAAAAGAAATATTTTTTATATATATAGATTTAGGGTTGAAATACTTTACAGATCTATTTCTCATTTTTTGTTTATTTTTTTAATATATATTATTTTCTTTAAAAAAATTGAAATCATGCACCGATCAAGTGATGTTAATAGAGTATTAGATCTATTTTCATTGTTGTTTGAATCTTAAGGGTTTATTGAATAGTTTAATGCTAACTTAAATTTTATGCAAGGGTAGTTTAATTTTTAAAATAAGAAAAGTTTAAAAAATATTAAATTCACGTAACGGTCAATTGATGTTGATAGAGTGGTAGATCTATGATAATGACCAGAAGACGACCATGTGAAAAAAGAAAAACGTAAAAAAGAGCTACAATCTATTAAAGAAACTGATGACCCAAAGTCGTCAACATAGTTTATTCAAGAAAAATATTAAAAAAACTTTAATTAAGAAAATAATATTTAAAACCAAAGTTATATTTGGCGAGCCATTTACGCGTTAGAAATATATTAACATCCTACAACGTCTTTTAAATAAAATAGTTACCTTCTAATTAATTATACAAAATTATTTTAACTTCAGAAATATTTATTTCACTCAAAGAAAATAATCAATATTTTTTTTACTATTTTTAAATTTATTATTATTTTTTTAGTTTCATTTCTAATTTTTACAACTTATAAGAGATTTTACTTTTTATATTTTTCAAATAAAGAAACACAATTTTAGAGAAAAAGCTAATTTTAATTAAAGCAATGAATTATTTATAAAATATTATTCTTTTTTTTTGTGTTTTTGGGTAAAATAAATATATTTTACAAAAAAAACTTACCTTGACATTTATTATTATTATTATTATTATTATTATGAAATTAAGAAAATGTAACAGTTTTATTTTTATATAATTTTTTTAAAAAGCATAAGTACTTGGAATTATTCATAGTCTGTTTAAATTAAAATTAGATAGAGAAACTAATTTTTTTTTAATGTTTTAGCAAATAAATTTTTTTAGTTAACCCCTTTATAATGTTTTAGGATTTACTTGGATATTTTCTTTAATGATTTAGATTTATTCTCTTTAATTAACTTAAATATGTGCTTTGAGGATTCTTAGTGTCTTTAAAATATTAATTTCTTGACAATTGTCTCTTTTCTCTTTTTCTCTTTTTCACATAGCTTTAGTTTTTTTTTAAAAAAAATAAATTTTTTAATGTTAGAAAAAATTAGAACTTTTAAAGTTTGAAAAAAAGGAAAGATTTGTTTGAATTAGATTTTTTAAAAATTTAAAATATTAGATCTTCATATGAACAAATAGAGAACAAGAGAGGAATACATGTAAATAAAAAAATGAAAACAAAAAAAAA